TCATACTTGAGTAAAAGTAAAGATACCTTAGTAGAAAATGACTCCAGTAAAAGTGAAAGTCACCCAGTAAAATCCTGCTTGAGTAAAAGTCTAAAAGTATTTAGTTTTAAATACACTTAAGTATCAAAAGTAAATGTAATTGCTAAAATATACTTAAGTATCAAAAGTAAAAGTATAAGTCATTTCAAATTCCTTATATTAAGCAAACCAGACGGCACCATTTTCTTGTTTTTTATTTATTTACGGATAGTTAGGGGCACGTTCCAACACTCAGACGTCATTTACAAACGAAGCATGTGTTTAGTGAGTCCACCACATCAGAGGCAGTAGGGATGACCAGGGATGTTCTCGTGATAAGTGTGGGAATAAGACCATTTTCCTGTCCTGCTAAGCATTCAAAGTGCAACAAGTACTTTTGGGTCAGGAAAAATGTATGGAGTAAAAAGTACATAATTTTCTTTAGGAATGTAGTGAAGTAAAAGTAAAAGTTGTCAAAAATATTAATAATAAAGTACAGATACCCACAAAAACTACTTAAGTAGTACATTCAAGTATTTTTACTTAAGTACTTTACACCACTGTTCCTAGGGAATAGAAAATAACCCACTGGGCACACCACGTCATTTCAATGTGGACAATTGGGTAATATTCGGTTGAGACTTTGATCAATGAGATTACAACCTATATTCACCCACTCAAAAAGACAGCCAAATGTTAGTTGAATTCCCAATGTGTTATCGTCATGCTTTCAACCATCTAAAAGCACAACCAAATTCTAATGACAAAACATTATCCGATTTTTGGTTTAGTTGTCACCCAAATGTCCATTTAAAAGTACAGCAAAGTTCAAATGGGAATATAATGTCAGATATTTTATTTATTTATACAACAGATTAATGTGTTACTTATCACTGTCCTTAATCTAATAGCAGAACCAAATGACCTGGATTGCAATTGAGATTACATTAAAAGTACACAAGGATCTCCAGAGGGTGGTGCGGTCTGCCCAACGTATTACCGGGGGCAAACTACCCGCCCTCCAGGACACCTACAGCACCCGATGTCACAGGAAGGCCAAAAAGATCATCAAGGACATCAACCACCCGAGCCACTGCCTGTTCACCCCGCTATCATCCAGAAGGCGAGGTCAGTACAGGTGCATCAAAGCTGGGACCAAGAGACTGAAAAACAGCTTCTATCTCAAGGCCATCAGACTATTAAACAGCCATCACTAGCACATTAGAGGCTGCTGCCTATAGACATATACTAGAAATCACTGACCACTTTAAGAAATGGAACACTAGCCACTTTTATAATGTTTACATATCTTGCATTACTCATCTCATATGTATATACTGTATTCTATACTATTCTACTGTATCTTAGTCCATGCCGCTCTGACATCGCTCGTCCATATATGTATATATTCTTAATTCATTCCTTACTTAGATTTGTGTGTATTGGGTATATGTTGTGAAATTGTTAGATATTAGAAGCACAAGCATTTCGCTACACCCGCAATAACATCTGCTAAACATGTGTATGTGACCAATACAATTTGATTTTATTTTATTTGCTTTGAAGTATATGGAGTACATGGAGTGGAGTGATCAATGCCGTTCGAGATTCTGCGCAGATCTCTACAGACCCGTGACGACCTATGCATGCTATCTTGAACATGCACACTTTATACGATTACATAATATACATTTACAGTAACCTCAAAATGTGGCCATGTTACTCTTTTTAAGGTTGAATCTGAGAAACTGCCTTAATCCCATTCTTTAACTTTTTTTTTACGTAAATCCAACAATTTGTTAACTTGTCGACAAGTTAATAGGCTATTTATTATATTTCAAAAGTGATACTCAATTGTGTTTAGTTGTCAACGCAACCAAATATCAACATTTGAAGGAGATTTATCTTCTGATTAGATAATTCCTTCCATATGTGCCACTGTCTGACATTAATTCCAGTTTGTCTACAAATTCATAATTTATATGTTGGATTCAAGTCTCCATCTCAACCAAAAATCTAAGTAAGACTAAATCAAATCAAATCAAACTTTAAATCCACTTTAAGTCAACTTTGATTTGATTTAGTAAATTTTTTTTAAGTTAGATGTTTGGTTGAGATGGAGACTTGATCCAAAATAGCAATTATTAATTTGAAAACAAACTGGAATTAAAGCCAGACTAAGTCAGTGGCACAGATGGAACTATCCAAGCAGGAGATACATCTCCTTCAAATATTGATATTTGGTTGGGTTGATAACCAAACACAATTCAATATCAGTAAATATCATTACATTTGATCAACCAGAGCTTGAAACCCTAGGCCTATGTATTGTCTAATTTTTGTTGATTTCTGGGTTGAATTTAAGCTAGCTGTTGATGACTTTGCAAATGCTATATAGTCCTAAATAGCATCATTGATGATATATGAAAGATAGATTATGGTCTACGCTAGTTGCATTGGCTCGCAAAACTACCTCTAACTTCCTTCATACTGGATACAGAGACATACAAATGGGTCCATGAGTTCATCTGACTATGGGGAAGTAGATAAAGGCCTGATTGCCAAAATCCCAAAGTATCCCTTTAAGTGGAGATCATTCTCACTATAGCGCATTGGTAACAGTCAGTGACAAATATCAAAGCTGGGCTTGGTTAAAACCCTGGATGGGAGACCAAAGGGTAGCTGTAGATAAATAAATTATCCAGTAGGAGGTGCTGCCCAGACAATTTTTTATTCTTCTGATAGTGGATATAATGTTGAAGATCTAACATTGTTTTAAAGGTACAAATTCAACATATTTTATACAAGGTTTGTCTATGTTGAAATTTGGTTATCATGATGACATAATCCTGTGGTTACAATTTTACCCTCAAAACAGCAGTTTACATTGATTACTTTTTTCAGTTGGTACCCAGTGGGAACTTACTTCAAGGGAATGTGGGTGTATTAGTACATTATTGGATATGTGATATATGCACTTTGCAGTTTAGAAATAACTGAATAATAAACTGAGTAGGATCCTGTAGATGGTGCTACTGGGGAGTTAGCTAGTGACATTAAGAAACCTGTGTCATATAGAGGAACAATAAAGTTTTAACAATTAATACAGTATATCTGATATAAGACTTGCAATAAGCAAACACAGAGCAGTTAGTTACCAGTTAAAAGACAGGGAATAATTACCTCTGCTGAAAAATAAAAGCCAACTAAGGTTCAAAAGACCACCAATTATGATATTATTTCATTGTATTCCATAGCAGGACTTCCAAACCAACTCCATGCCCTTAAGAATTCGGGCTGTTTTGGAGGCAAAGGGTGGTCCGACCCAGTACCAGATTGGTGTACCTAGGCTATTCTAGATATTGCATCTCTATATTTCAACCAGAAAACTCAAATTCACTCAAGTACACTCATGCATGGCTACTCGTATTTATTGTAAACAAACATTTACAACAAACTGAAATTAAATTAAACCTGAAATACATATTCCTCCTCTTGGTAAAAAAAGGTACAATCAAAATGTATTCATCAATAGCTACTTTCTTGTACAATAGGTTATGTAATTCATAATCCAATTAGAACTGAGAAACAATGCTGAGTTGGAGGAATAAACAAATAAATAAAGAGACAGTCGTTAGCTCCAAAATTGGCATTTTATTCGGATGGTTGGGGTCAGAGATGTATAATTTGTATTCCAGTACATACGATTATCCACAAAGCTTCAGACAAAAACCTTTTCCAGTCTCAAAGCTGATTCAGTAATTAGTGCCAATGGTGCAACAACATCCCACCCATCCCCTTTTTGGTACAAATTAAAACAGTTGTGCTGACAAGATTGCTATTTTTTATTTATTTTTTTTTCAATTGTTTTTCTTCATTTTATACAAAAGACTTAACTTCTACACATTTAATGTCACACGGTTGTAATTTTTTTTGCTTTGTAAATACATTTTGGAAATAACATTTTTTCATACTTTTTGTTGTCGTGAAAAGATAAAAACATGCAAAAACTTTAAGTTGTAGTCCAAATTATACATTTACAAGTTCAGAACTTTTTGCACTTCTTCATAGACTACAGAAGAAGAAAAGAATACATGTACACACATTGTCTTTACCGTGAAGTAAAAGTTGAACGTACCAGATGATGACTAAGGCAAATGAAGTGTACATGGATTAGAACAAAATAAACAATTGTTGTTTTTGTAAAATACTACACCACTTCAGAAATAAAGGAAAAAAAAACACATTCCGCTACAAAAGTATTACTTATGACTCCCTTTATTTGCAACCAGCTGCATAAGTTAATTTTTTGTGTGAAAAAAAACTAAATTTCTAGCCTACTGTACAGTGCTGTTCTCAGTTGATTCTCCCCATTGAAGCTAATAAAGGATCCTTCATCATCTTTCATCTTTGTAATTCACTTAAATAATCATTGTTCAACAAACAGCAGTATCGTGTAATCAAAAAAAGCTTGTAGAAGCATACCATAGTTTAACATACTTTCTTATGTTTTGAAATCACTCCAAAAGTCAGTACCATTAAAGCCTTGAACATAAAACTAATCATTCAGATCCCAAAAATGTACAAAAAGGCACATTATATCCCAGTGCTTCTGTACTGTGAAATTCAAGTGTAATTGAGCACGCTCAATATCAACGATCCAAACAGTGACAGTTCACCAATGTTCCCTCCCCTTCTCCAAAACTGGACTGCACTTCAGCCTATGCCTAATCCTTCAACAAGCATATGTATGCGTAGACTACAACAATAAGCCTAGATTGGTTGTTTTGTGAAAATATTTCAGAATTATGTTTACATTTTTGGAACTTTTCTGTCATTGTTCCTGTCACCACTCTTTCAGGGGAATATCGGTAATCAGAAGCTGTCCACATCCATTGAGAGGAAAACAAAATATATTTTATATTTTCCTGGGTTCACCATTCTTTGTCATCTTGTTGTATAGGTCTTGCACATCCTGTGTCCTAGTCGTCGCTCCCTCCGTACATGTCTGCGAGTTTTCTGAAGCGAGGGCCCCAATCGTTGAGGTAATCGTAGTCCTGGTCCCCTCCGCTGCTGGAGGAGTTGAGAGAGCTTAGGGAGCCAGCTGTAGAGCCACTGCCTTCATAGTCGAACACCAGCAGGGAGTCGTAGGGCGGGGCTGTGGGGTCGTTGTCCGCTGCCTTAAGTCCCTGGATGGACGGGAGGAAATAAAAAAACACAGTTAGATGAGTGAGGAGATTAAGGCCAGCCAGTCCACCATGACCAAACCCTGTCTGACAACAGCTATAAAACACCATTCACATTCACAGACATGTTCTTATCCCCTACTTCCACCTAAACAGGCTAATATTAACAGGCTAGCATTTTCCTAATGTTTTCCTCCCTTCTACATGTTTAGAAAATCAGGTCCTTTTCATGGATTAAGAACGGCTCTAATTTCCCTCTGTGTGTCCGTCTGCAGTGAAGCGTTTTGGCTTTGATTCTCCCTGATGTTTCTGGCATGCAGGATTATCCAGGACTTTATCAAAAACTGAGATTAAGCATGACAGCCTGACCAAATGCCTCAGCTCACTGGAAGGCTGCCACTGATGACTTAGCCTGGCCCTCCCCCCTCCTCAACCCTCCATCACTCCCCTGTCCACAGGTGCTGCCTGAGGGGCTTGGAGGGCTGAGAGGAGGAGATCACTGTAGTGGCACTGACAATATGCCAGCTATCCCCACCACACTCTGGACCCTGGTACAGTACTACATGCACACTCCATTTCATGTGTTCAAGTATTGCTCCCCAAAACTAGGAAGGAAGTGCTGAGCAACATTGTCTTTGTGTGTGTGTGTGTGTATGTTCCAGTAGTGTGTGTTCCAGAGGGTGGGGTGCGATGGTGGTGGTTTCCATTTTGAAGATTGTACTTAACATTACCAGAAGCTCTCGTAGCAGCGTGAGAGGTCCTTATGGATTGCTATTGATTTCCAAGCCCATTCCTTAACGGTACTCTAGAGACTTGATGGATTGCTAATCTAGCACAGGAGATGTGCTTTGGCCATGAAGAGCATTGGGCCCAGGCCCGATTCCAACCTCTTCTCACTGCCAGTGAGAACATCTAACAAATAATAACTGAATTAAAAGAAACAGAGCACAACACATAGAAACAAACGAGCCACTAGGCTCATTGGAAAACATGTCAGAGATTTTTTGGGTAGGTAGGGGGAGAGAGAGCGAGCAGATGAGAAAGAGAGAGAGAGAGAGAGAGAGAGAGAGAGAGAGAGAGAGAGCGAGAGAGAGAGATGAGAGAGAGAGGATGAGAGAGAGAAGGAGAGAGAGAGAGAGAGAGAGAGAGAGAGGAGAGAGGTAGAGACTCGAGAGATCAAGCGAGAGAGAGAGAGAGCTCTCTAGCTCTCTCTATCTCTCAGCTCTCTCTACTCTCTCTCTCTCTCTCTCTCTCTCTATCTCTCTCTCTCTCTCTCTCTCTCTCTCTCTCTCTCTCTAAAAAGGATAGATTGAAACAAAGTGCCCAGATGCTTAGTGATTATTTTCCACTTCTTAGCCTTTGTTGAATGTTTGCTCAGGGCTGTGGCACTGATAATTTGGTGGGAAATATGACAGATGGATCGTTCATTACAATTACAGCCATCACTGCTCCGATGGATAGAGCGCCATGCGGCACAACCACCCACCCCACTGGTAGTGTGACAAGGTTAGCCAATCACAGAGCTTTGCCCTCCTAATTACATTAAAACTGAGTCATCCACTGTGTGAGAGAGACTATCGTCCATCTTAAGAAAATATTGTGCTGCCCTGTCCTCCCCTGACTTCACCCACTGATCCACTGCTCACAATACAGGTCTCTTATTGAATTGAATAACATCCTATTCAGAGATTTGCAGGGTAAGTTTCTCTGTTCATTTCCCCCTGATTAGATACAAACTGTAGTATTGTCACTGTGAATATGGGGGTTCAGAGTGTAACACAGTGTTGAAATGTTGACTTGAAATACTTTTCCCCCAATAACACTTTATTTGAACCTTCAATCTGTGTGAACTTTTTGTCCAGAGCCTGTGGCCAACAAAAGGTTATGTAAGGTGAGGCTTATTTCCCAAACATTACCTCCCTGAGTGGGAACAGACTAAAAGCTGAATAATAGACTATTGTTTGGCCACTCCGAGAGGCTAAATTCTTGGGCGGATTTGAGACCTACGCTTAAATTTTAACTCCCCATTTTTTTATTAACTGCCAAATGCTCTGTGGGCATGGGGTTGTGTGCGCACTCCAGACTTTGAGCCCAGACACATCACCCCAGCCCCACGCCCACCCCACTCCACCCTGAGCAACCAGGTCAGATTCCAACCCCAATGAAGAAGGCATAAACCAGCTGCCAGCAGGGGGCAGTGGATAGAATCTACGATGACCACCTGTGTGTGTGTGTGTGTGCGTGTGTGTGTGTGCGTGTGTGCATGTGTGAGCGTGCGTGCGTGCATGTGTATGTGATGGGAAACAGGCTGACATGTACTGCCTGTAATGTGGATGTCTAGGTCAGGATGCTCTGGCCCACAACATCCTGCTGTCCTTGTACAGAAATAATACATAAAACAGCAGACCTGTCTCTGCTCCAATAAGTGTTGCAGCTTTTTTACACACTGGGCAAAACACTCAAACTCACTCTATATAAATTGAACTGACAAGAGCATTAAGTGTATTCAGGAATTTTCTGAGAGAGCAAGGGAGGGGTAGTGGGAGAGATATAGCGCGAGTAGGGGAGTTCTAATCTAAAAACATGGGAATAGGCCAAAAACTGGGGGAGACAGAGAAAGAGAACTCAATTTTTAATACAGTGAATGTCTTGTCTGTTGGAGCTGGTGAAAAATACATGACCGTCCAGTTCATTTTACATCCCACCTTCAACGCTGGAGTCAATGGTGCCCTGAGGCAAGCGAGGCCATGAAGGAACAGAACAGGGCACCTCTATGGAAAGGCAATGTGCTGTTCTCTTTCTCATCCCACTAGATCTCTACAGAGAGACGTCTAAAACTATTACCCCAGCCGATTCTGCTGCACAGCTAAGAGAAACACAATTCTCTCCAAGTGAACTCTCTTTGAATACTCATAATATTATAATTACATGTGTGGATTTAGTTCACTTAAATTGGACACATTATAAATACCCCCCCCCTTCTGTAAAATAAATTGAACACCCTCCCCCCTCATAGAATTAACTCTAAATAATGTTAACGACCACAGATAACAATAACTGTAGCGACCCTGTGTTTATAAACGTGGATATCGACTTTGCCACTTCAGCATGTTTTTGTGGCACAGTCGATGCCACGCAGGGCTACGGGCCAAAAGGTTGAGGGTTCGCCGACCATCACAGACGAGCTCACTCTCCCTGCCTGTTTCATTACACTACGATCAGAGCCGGCTGCAGACAATGATAATTATATAAAATATATGCAACAAATTTTCCAGCAACAGGTTTCTGTGCCAATGTACCACACAACCAATAAACAAAGCATACCAACATCGGGCACTTCAATATCATAGTTTGCATTTTCAACACCACAATAAATAGACTATGTCAATCTGGACAAACAGAACATACATCCCTCCTTACCGTGTACCCAGTACCGAAGGCTTGGCTTGACAATCTCCGAATGTCATTAAAATGTTGGTGTTTTGTAACAGATGTCTCTTTCCATTCATCACAGTTTGGATTGCACAGTTTGGATTGGTTGATTTTTTTTTTTGTCAGTAAAAAAAAATATGCATATATACACAAAGATTTTTAAAGTGACCGGGATTGCACAATAAAGTCGGGGACTTATTTCCATTGTGGTCCCTATTTTTTTTTACATAAATAAATCTACAATTACATAGATACAGACACATTACACACATGCTCAACCTCCAGATAAGTATGAGGGGGGAGTTTAAGTACAATTCTTACAAGCTTGTTTGGCTGGTAGCTTATTTTTTAGATGTTTGGGGCTGTTGGTGAACCATGATGTGCAGTCATAATCAAAGTGACACTGGACTAGCGCACTTGCCAGAGTCTTTAGGGTGTCTATAGCTAGGATTCCATCCAATTGCGACAGATTTTCATGCAAATATTCTAGAATCTTCATAAAAACAGTATGGCATTTCAGTTTCCTTTAGGATAATTTGGCGCTGGACAACATGACAGGGAAGATTTTAATTTACCGGACATTTGAGAAATTGAATGGACATCAATATGCATTCAGATCCGACCTGGTGCAGCCAGCCCTATCAATAAACAAGGGATGTTGGCCAAATGAGCCACATTTACGTGACCTTAAAAACAGCCTATAACAAATTACAAAAAAACAATTCCTTGTGTTTCGATGTGTAGCATATGCAAAACTATATAGCCAATTCTTTATTGGTTTTTAGGCTACTTTCCTAAAACAATAATTGTTCATTTTATGGTTCAGCTGTCAGAGATTTGAGCACTAAATGTATCAGGGCATTGCATGCATAGGCCTATAGGCTTAGGTGTCCACTGTATGATATTTATATATATATATATATATATTTTGTTAATTTTCTATCAGAATATTTTGTATAAAGATAAGCATTATATTGTTAGATTATAGGAGTAACTTTGGTAGGCCTGAAACAGTCTTCCTCACCTCAGGTTCAACTGCCGGAGTCAGTTGAAGCGCCAGGGCGCGCTGCCTTCACAGCATAGGCCTGCAGCAGCTAACGCTTAATAATAGCCACACCATACCAAACCTTCACAAATGTTTCTAAACTTTATTAGGATAATATCAAAAGTAAGTCAAGCCATTGTTTATAGAGAAAATATGAATAGAACAGTGAATGTAAACCTGTGCCCAATAAAAAACCACACAACCCTCCCCAAAGCAAAAAATTCAGTTTGACAACCCTCATTATTCAATTTCCCATTAACCTTTCATGTCTGTATGCGTCTGTTCTGTTTCAATCAATACTTCCATGAGTACAGGGAGCGAGATTAGCTAAATATACCTGAGCTAAATTCAAATGTGAAGCTTGCATCATCTGTTCAACTGCTTTCCTTTATTTTGAAGCATTCACTTCATTAAATGAAATATTCTTACCTCTACCCCTTACCCCAACCATGACCTTTAGAGTGTTTATGAAATCATTCTCTAAATCTTCCTGTGGCATTATTCTAGATGCAGATGTTTAACCGTGAGAAGATTAGTGTGTTTGTTAATTGTTTATTTTTTTACCTCGTTGATGAAGTCTCCGATGTCCCCGGGGTGCGGGGCTGCTGACCTTATGGGGTACTTGGGCTCGGGGTGCAGCGGCCTCTCGTCCATACGCCGGATCCCCACAGGCTTGATGGTGTCCGGCTCTATTGTGTCGGGCTGCTGGAGCTGGCTCAGGTCGTAATCCTGGAGGGGAGGGGGAGAGGAGGGACAGATGGGTGTCAGCAAGGAGCCAGAGACAAGTGAAGATCCACACAGAGCTGGGGAGAGGAGCTTGGCATGGGCATAACCCCCCACCCAGAACCAGAGCCATACACACATGGGCAGAACTCCTTACCTAGACCAATACACACATGGGAAGAACTCCCTACCTAGACCAATACACACATGGCCAGAACTCCCTACCTAGACCAATACACACATGGCCAGAACTCCCTACCTAGACCAATACACACATGGGCAGAACTCCCTACCTAGACCAATATACACATGACCAGAACTCCCTACCCAGACCAATACACACATGGGAAGAACTCCCTACCGAGACCAATACACACATGGATAGAACTCCCTACCTAGACCAATACACACATGGGCAGAACTCCCTACCTAGACCAATACACACATGGGCAGAACTCCCTACCTAGACCAATACACACATGGGCAGAACTCCCTACCTAGACCAATATACACATGACCAGAACTCCCTACCCAGACCAATACACACATGGGAAGAACTCCCTACCGAGACCAATACACACATGGGTAGAACTCCCTACCTAGACCAATACACACATGGGCAGAACTCCCTACCTAGACCAATACACACATGGCCAGAACTCCCTACCTAGACCAATACACACGGGCAGAACTCCCTACCTAGACCAATACACACATGGCCAGAACTCCCTACCTAGACCAATACACACATGGGCAGAACTCCCTACCTAGACCAATACACACATGGCCAGAACTCCCTACCTAGACTGTTACACACACAGTCAAAAGTTTGGACACACCTACTCATTCCAGGGTTTTTCTTAATTTTTTACTATTTTCTACATTGTAGAATAATAGTGAAGACATCAAAACTATGAAATAACACATATGGAATCATGTAGTAACCAAGTGTTAAACAAATCAAAATATATGTTTCAATTTAAGTCCATATTATAGCAAGAACAGCTCAAATAATCAAAGAGAAACAACAGTCCATCATTACTTTAAGACATGAAGGTCAGTCAATACGGAACATTTCAAGAACTTTTCAAGTTCCTTCAAGTGCAGTCGCAAAAACCATCAAGCGCTATGATGAAACTGGCTCAAATGAGGACCGCCACAGGAAAGAAAGACCCATAGTTACCTCTGCTGCAGAGGATAAGTTCATTAGAGTTACCAGCCTCAAAAATTGCAGCCCAAATAAATGCTTCACAGAGTTCAAGTAACAGACACATCTCAACATCAACTGTTCAGAGGAGACTGCGCGAATCAGGCCTTCATTGTCCAATTGCTGCAAAGAAACCGCTACTAAAGGACACCAAGAAGAAGAAGAGACTTGCTTGGGCCAAGAAACACAACCAATGGACATTAGACCGGTGGAAATCTGTCCTTTGGTCTGATGAGTCCAAATTTTAGATTTTTGGTTCCAATCAACGTGTCTTTGTGAGACGCAGAGTAGGTGAACGGATGATCTCCGCATGTATGGTTCCCACCGTGAAGCATGGAGGAGGAGGTGTGATGGTGTGGGGGTGCTTTGCTGGTGACACTGTCAGTGATTTATTTCGAATTCAAGGCACACTTAACCAGCATGGCTACCACAGCATTCTGCAGCGATACACCATCCCATCTGGTTTGCGCTTAGTGGGACTATCATTTGTTTTTCAACAGGACAATGACCCAACACACCTCCAGGCTGTGTAAGGGCTATTCGACCAAGAAGGAGAGTAACGGAGTGCTGCATCTGATGACCTGGCCTCCACAGTCACCTGACATCAACCAAATTGAGATGATTTGGGATGAGTTGGACCGCAGAGTGAAGAAAAAGCAGCCAACAAGCGCTCAGCATATGTGGGAACTCCTTCAAGAATGTTGGAAAAGCATTCCAGGTGAAGCTGGTTGAGAGAATGCCAAGAGTGTACAAAGCTGTTATCAAGGCAAAGGGAGGCTACATTGGAGAATCTGAAATATAATTTGTTTAACACTTTTTTGATTACTACATGATTCCATATGTGTTATTTCATAGTTTTGATGTCTTCACTATTATTCTACAATGTAGAAAATAGTACAAATAAAGAAAAACCTTTGAATGGGTAGGTGTGTCCAAACCTTTGACTGGTACTGTATATCTGAGTGGGGTGGCAGCGTCTACATAACTGTGCATTGTTGTTACTGTTGCTACCCTGCATCATTAGAGCTAAAAATCCTATCAATGGGTGGACTTTAGACTGTTGGTCTAAGTATTACCACTTAGACAGTTAGCTGCATTTAACAATGTCCAGCTTCGGGGTCAAGGCTAAGGAACATAGCATCAGTCGACAACCCACTTGCAATAGAGCGGTGTTCTTCTGGAAGAGTGTGCAGGAAACTGTTCTGCTCTAATCAGGCCCCAGACACGGAATGGCGGATATGCATAAGCCATTACTAATCCTATTAACATTGCCAAGGCAACCTGACTGGCTCGCCGTTTGGTTTGTGCAGTGTCACAGGAGGAGAGAGAAGGAGGGGACAGAGCTGCAGAGAGAAGTTGACAGAGAGAGAAAGAAATGGAGAGAGAGGTGGCGAGAACAAGAACGAGAATGAGAGAGAAAGAGAGAGAGATGGAGAGCCATGGTGCGTTGTGATGTTGATGAGAAGACAGCAGTGAGGAGCTGGACTGATATGCTATCAGAGAGGATATGATGGAGAGAATGCCATGGGAGAATAGCTGTGTGCTTAATAAGCGTGAATGATGGAGTGTCCTTCTTTAGCAGATTTTCAGTAATCCATCCATCTCTAATATCCCCCTTCAATATTGTCCCTGCTCGCTTGCACACATAACTATGCACACACACACGTGCGCGCACACAAGCTTACACACACTCGCGGACACACAAATCCTAAGTGAGTATGCATGTCTAAAGATGGACAAATAAACACAAATACAGTAGATGACTTAAATACAAACATATAAATCGACACAAACACAAACACAACTACACATCGACACAAACACAAACACACTCCAGTCCAGACACTCTTATAAACACGTATCTTACTTACTTACTTAGGCCTTTGTATTCCTTGTGGAACATAGGCCAACACATGTATCATGTTAATCTAGATTTAAACAAATGGATAATCTAAACAGACAGATTGACAGTGCACGTAAAACTAAAATTCCATGGGGAATCACCATGTCCCCTCTGGTTGACTGAAAGGGTCTGTCTGGAAGGGGACAATGGCAGTCATACATTCCAGAGCAGGATGCCATGTGTCCCCTCCAGCCTCCTCCTCCTCCCAGCCCACCTCCCTGTGACCCTTCTAGGACGTTCCACAGGGCCATCCCAGAGGTCAGAGCTTAGAGACAGAGAACTGCACCATATCATTACAGCCACATAGCCACAACTGGACAATGACGACATGCTATGCACTCAAGGGCACCATTCTTCACACATTACAGCCCCAAGCACCAACACACTGACATATCGTTTCCCCTGCCACGCCCGGACAACACATTGAATCACCAACATTGTGGCTGGACATTCCAAAGCAAAGGCCCCCACTTGATCCTACAATGGGTGGAGCTGGACAGTAAACAACAACAATATTGGATACACAAACTCCTCACGTAAGGGGAAGAATTTGTTAGGCCATATTTTCACTTCGAATATCTATTTAATATTCTGCTTGAAGCAAAGGTTTGACTGACGATGGCCCTGGTCTGCACCTATTGACTGACTCTGTGCCCTCCCTCCAAGAGGGAGACTTTAACAACAGGTTGTTGTTTTCCTCTCTTTTTGTCTTTTCACAACTGAATGAGGAATTAGGACACCTGCTGTGGTTGCATAAACAGGTTTGTTCTGTCAAGACAAAATAGTCTGGTGGTAATTGAATAAAAGTGTCTTTAAGCTATTATGTTTGTGTGGCCTCAAAAAATAAGCATTTCCATCTGTATTTGGAACAACTATATCATATACAGCTTTCCTCTGTGGTCCTTTGAAAAACTTGACAAAGACGTGCTTCAGTTTGAGATTGCATTTATGAGCAGGCAGGGCTAGAAAACACTCATTACAATGGCGTTTCTCTATCAAGTTACAAAACTTTAACTTCCACAGAAGTTTCTGGAATTGGATATTCTTTCCACACCACATTATTCTTCACTTCCCACACAGCCAGTGAGCAAGGGGCTGATCAGCTGTCTCCTCTTGGTAGAATGAGTGCCCCACGGACTAATAAAAACCCAGGCAATGGCAGTCAGAAACTACAATAATATACTCAGAGAGCGCCGAGCGGCCAATGGTCTGACACTTCAATTTCCTCCCCAGCGGGAGAGATAGGGAGAACAGAGGTGAGGCATTATATAGTCCACATCACTGGGACAGTCCGGTTAATTTTTTACCCAACACACACCACCGACTGACTGACTTCCAGATTCCATAGACAAGACCATTTCCTTCTGACATCCAGCCCTCCTCCTCCACTCAGAATTCAGATTTTCTTTAGATAAATCTGAATTCTGTTACCCCCCCCCTTCTACAGTCTTTGTGGAGTGTTATATCACAGTGTCTTCAGAAATCACTGTGCGTGCGTGTGTGTGTACGTCTCCCTCCTACCCAATCGCTGGCAGATGTGTAATGGTTTCCCAGTCATATCGTTACCTTTAGATGGAGCTTAATTATTACACAGTAGCAGATGTCTGTCTCCAAATTACATTATCCCTGCAATTATCAGCCTCAGAGGCCAATTTACGACTGAACACTGCTACCACCTCACACTCATCTCCAGTCTACACTACCTATGCCAGTGTGTGGAGTCCCTTACAGAATGGGCCCATGGCATGAACACATTTGTAGAAGATATTAACAGACATTTACGAAATGATTCCATTGAATTAACTGAAGTTCATTATAATAAGTGCGGTTTTATGTGTATATATGAGGATGTCTTGTGTGTGTGTCTGTGTGTATGTGAGTGTGTGTTTCAATGTGTATGTGTGTGTGTGTGTCTATCTGCATGTGTGTGTGTGTTACTCCACCTGGTCCTCCTCTCCACCTCCCTCCTCGTCGTACTTCAGGATGTTGTCTCTGACGTCGTCCTCCGGGTCAATGAGCAGCTGCTTGGCCTGACGCTCCTTATCACGACGCTTCATCCATACCACAAACAACAACACCAGAACTACAGAAGGAGGGAGGGAGGGAGGGAGGGAAAGAGTGAGAGAGATCCCATATTACAAAACATAATAATTGACATATTTTGTATACACATGTAATCCAATCCAGAATTTAGAGCTTGCCTCGAGCCTGATCTGGGTTATCTTTTGGGTAATCCTGAAATAATCTACTTGCTCCCTTCATAATTCCGGTGGCAGTGTTTGGGGATGGCAAGGGATGGCATTTTATCTTGTGTGTGTGTGGTGGGTGGGGTGGTGGGGACACTGGTGTCTGGTGTGTGTGTGTTTGTGTGAGTGTGAGAGTGTGTATGCGCGCGCGAGCATGCGAGAGGGCAGGGTTGCACTCACTGAGGAGGATGATGATGCAGAGCAGGATGGCGATGATGGCGCCCGTGCCCAGCCCTGCGGCGATGATGTGCTGCTGGTCGGTGCAGTCCCCGTTGTGGTCACACTGGCACACCTTGACCCGCAGGTAGGAGGTGTTGGACATGGGCAGGTTGCCAGAGTCAGTGATGATGATGGGGATCTCGTAGATGCCCCTTTCCAGGAAGCCGATCTTCAGGCTCAACTGGGCATAGTCACCTGGGGGAAGGAGGGAGACGGGGGAGAGGGAGGGAGGGAGGGAGGGAGGGAGGGAAAGAGACATAAAGGAAGGGAAAGTTCATTACTAATCCCTCCGGACAGTCCCGGAGTGTAACTACTGGGAAAAGAGATACACTACATGGCCAATAGTATGTGGACACAAACATCGAACATCTCGTTCCAAAATCATGGGCATTAATATGGAGTTAGTCCCCCCTTTGCTGCTATAACAGCCTCCACTCTTCTGGGAAGGCTTTCCACTAGATGTTGGAACATTGCTGCGGGGACTTGCTTCCATTCAGCCACAAGCGCATTAGTGAGGTCGGGCACTGATGTTGGGCGATTAGGCCTGGCTCGCAGTCGGCATTCCAATTCATCCCAAAGGTGTTTGATGGGGTTCAGGTCAGGGCTCTGTGCAGGCCAGTCAAGTTCTTCCACCCCGATCTCGACAAACCATTTCTGTATGGACCTCGCTTTGTGCACGGGCACATTGTCATGCTGAAACAGGAAAGGGCCTTCCCCAAACTGTTGCCACAAAGGTGGAAGCACAGAATCGTCTAGAATGTCATTGTATGTTGTAGAGTTAAGATTTCCCTTCACTGGAACTAAGGGGCCTAGCCAGAACCATGAAAAACAGCCCCAGACCAGATTATTCCTCCTCCAACAAACTTTACAGTTGGCACTATGCATTCGGGCAGGTAGCGTTCTCCTGGCATCCGCCAAACCCAGATTTGTCTGTTGGACTGCCAGATGGTTAAGCGTGATTCATCACTCCAGAGAACGCGTTTCCACAGTTCCAGAGTCCAACGGTATCGAGCTTTACACCACTCCAGCCAATGCTTGGCATTGTGCATGGTGATCTTAGGCTTGTGTGCGGCTGCTCGGCCATGGAAACCCATTTCATGAAGCTCATGACGAACAGTTATTGTGCTGACGTTGCTTCTAGTGGCAGTTTGGAACTTGGTAGTGAGTGTTGCAACCGAGGACAGACCATTTTTACACGCTACACGCTGCAGCACTTGGCGGTCCTGTTCTGTGAGCTTGTGTGGCCTACCACTTCGTTGCTGAGCCGTTGTTGCTCCTAGACGTTTCAACTTCACAATAACATGACTTACAGTTGACTGGGGCAGCTGAAAGTCACTGAGCTCTTCAGTACGGGCCATTCTACTGCCAATGTTTGTCTATGGCGATTGCATGGCTGTGTGCTCGATTTATACACCTGTCAGCATGGCGGAAATAGCCAAATCCACTAATTTGAAGTAGTGTCCACATGTTTTTGAACAGCATGAATTCCAATACCTGGAAATTGTGTCAGCATATCTAATCCAAAATATGGTCAGGATTTAGATTTTGAGTTTATAAACCCACTGAAGACCTTTTTGATAATGCCGCTTAGGCTAAACCCCCCCCCCCAGCTCCTATAATCCATATGGCTGTTATCCTATTAAGTTAGTTATTCATTTACTGCGGTTTCCACTCACATCTAATCGCTATCAACGCACAACAAATGAGTAATTCCTCCATTATTTTGTTTGTATAATTAGCATAATCAATTAGCGAGCTGATTGATAAAACAAAGGCCTGTTATTAATCTCTTTTATAATATAGTGTCTTAATATAGGCCTTGTGAGGCACGCACACAGAGCATTGTCTATTGTTATACGCTCGTAGAAAAAAAGGGATCCAAAATGGTTCTTCGGCTGTCCCCATAGCAGAACCCTTTTGGGTTCCATGTAGAACCCTCTGTGGAAAGAACCCTTTTAGGTTCCAGATAGCACCTTTTTTTCTAAGAGTGTAGGTCACTGCTCTTGGCCCTATGGAGAGCCAGAAACCTCATGGACATGATGCCCATACCGTAATGCCTCTAAACCAGTGCCAAGCACAAACAGTCCCAAACCATATAGTGTTATTATCACCATCCAAATAACCAGGACCACACAGTACTGGTGGTTCTCCATTCTCGCTGGCAGTTGTAAACCACTGGCAGTTGATTGATGAATGTCCACTCACCTGGTGACCCAGGTCTAAATCAGTCTCTGATTACATGGGAAGAATGAAAACCAGCAGTATTGCCGACCACATCCCTGATCTACAGTGTTTTGCTTGTTTAATTGTTTGTTATTGTTGTGTCTTACCACTGAGCCGTGTGATGGTCCAGTTTCTCCTGACGTCTGAGGGCCTGTTGGCCAGCTCGAACGCGAAGGGTCCGGCGTTGGGGTTGAGGTCTCCGTCCAGCGCTGTGATGTTGATGCCGTTGGGCTCGGGTTTCTCGCACATCTCGGTCTCCTGGGGGTAGACGTGGGGCGCATTGTCGTTGATGTCCAGCAGGGAGATCTGCAGGGTGCCTGTACCGCTCGCTGGGGGGACGCCTGGATGGGACATCACACACAGACAGGGAAGGACGCACACACACACACACATAAACATCTTAGAATACATAATAACGATAAGGGGAAATATACCATTGAAGTGATCTTAATGCATGATGTCTCGCTGCATGTTTGGTAATACATAACGTCCTTATCCTGAGCCTTGTGCTTGGTGCAAAAGTAAGGCAGAGAGGAGCAGCAGCAGCCAGTCTGCAGGGACAGGACCCCTCCAGACTGCATACTGATCTGAGGAGCGGAGCTCCTCTCTCTCCAGGGGCGAGGGTGGGGGATATAATGCAATGTTTGGGGAATGGAGGGAGGAGCAGAGGAGCTGTGCATGTGTGTGTATGTGTGTGAGTGTGTGATCTGAAGAGAGTGTATATTCCTGATGAAGAGGGAGGCCACAGGGTGAGAATACTAAAGCAGACAGACAGAGAAGAGCCCACTGTCGCTGCCTTAGCCCCGGAGACCCAGAGCCTCAGCCCCTCTATGTATTAATGGGGCTAAGAGGCTTTTTTGCCATTCAGGCCACGCTCAAATGAGCTACTCATCTAATCCTGACCTATTAATGCTGAGAAACCTCTTTATTGGGAGAGTTTCTAAGCCTATTGGCCTGTGCTGTGCTCCGTGGAACAGGCTAAACCTGAACAGAGGTAAATCCAGTCAGGGAAAGAGAGAGGAGAGAGGTGAACACGTCCACAGTGTGGTTGGTAGGTCTGGGCTCGCTCTGAAACATTAACTTCGGTTGCTACGTTGGTGTCAGGCACAATGTTAACCTTGAACAAGGCAGCTGTGTGTGAGATTTTTGCCTGCTAAAAACAATATTCTCCTAGGCTACTTGGCTATACATCGGGAAGCAGATATTAGCGCCTGGTGGCTAGGCTAAGTACCATTGTCAGATGCCAAGAAGGTGGCGCTGTACATGTTGTCCTTCACGTAGGGCGACTCGCGGTCCAGGACAGCGATGGTTGTGATGCGCCCGGTGTTAGGGTCGATTCTTAGCCAGTTGGCTGGGTCTGAGAGCCTGGAGTATCTGAGAATAGAGAGGACGAAAGAAGATACAAGATGTTCATTCAAACCTTACGTGTTCGTTTATTATTATTATTATTATTATTATTATTTTATTTTATGCAGACTTATACATTCAAGGCTAAAGGTGGTGAACGTTCAACAAAAGAAAGATACGTATCTTACTGAGGATGGGAGTGTTTTTATTGGCATAAGGGCAGTCAGTGATTGAGGAAACTGCATGAAAAGCTTTGTATGAATACAGCTATTTAGTATCATTATTACCTAATGCTTTGCGGCATGAATCTATCAGGGTCCTGTGCTGTGAAGGTGGTCAGTGTAGATTCTGCTAACATCCCCTCCTCCAATTTGATGAGTTTGGGGTTGGGGTCGAAGTAGGGGCTCTCGTTGACATCGATGACCCTGATGGAGACCGTGGCGGTGGACTGGCGAGGGGAGTGGATACCCCGGGCGAGAGACACCTCATTCACCGCTACCACCGTCAACATGTATGTCCTGCTGATCTCATAGTCGATTGGCTGGAGGGAGGAAATGCAACAGTACGTAAGTATGTTCCATGGACTGTAAGGGAATGGATCGATAAAGTATTTATTCTGTTATTTTTTTATCAATAAAGTACTCTTCTTCTTCTAATGCAATGAGGAAAAGAGCCCAGAAGAAGTCAGCCAGGGGATACTGTAGTTAGTTGTACTACTACTGCAGAGAAATTATTATTCAATTACTTTACACACACGCGGTGGTATTTAATTAAACACATGGTATGCACCTCTGTTCTCTCTACTAAAGACGACACTCAGCTTACAAACATACAAGAGCATAATAAACTACTTTTTTGAAAGAGCTGAGTCTTAGCTATTAAAAATAAGTGGCTCCCCTGGGAGATACGGGAGTGGAGGGAAGGGGATTGGGGGGATGGATTAAGTCTGAGGGTGTGGCAGTCTGTCTCACCTTGACAACGGTTACCAGGCCCTCGTTAGTGGTGGGATCGGTTGGCACGGAGAACCTGCCGGTGGGGTCGCCCCCAGTGATCTTGTAGACGGCGTTCCACGCTGGCGTGTTGGGCTGGTCTTTGTCCGTCACCGTCAGGTTGGCCACGATGACATTCACCCGGTTCTCAGGCACCTCTCCAAAGAACTACATGAATAAAAGATGGAGGATGGGACAGAGAGCAGTTACACATAATGCTGCGCCAGCGGAAAACACAGGCTCCGTGCTCCAGCTCTACACATCCAACTCCTAATTTCAAGTAAATAAATGTCCACAGCAACTTATCATGTTATCATCGCCATCTTGGTCTGATAGCAAAACAATACCATTACATTACACAAGGGCCAATGTATCGCTCACAAATACATCAAGCACCTCTCTCTGCTCTGCTCTCTCTGCCTGCCTGATGTACTCAAAGTGTCAGTACTTACATGTGGGTTGTTCCATATGATTTCAATCACTTTTTGGATGCACCCCTTTTGATTTGAATGAACCTTTTTATACATATTTGCCCATAGTAGAAGTGGTCAGAAAGTAACTTTTTGGACCTGAATGCCGAAACATTTAGGCAATAGATGTGCTCAAAGTTGACCCGGTTTGCATACCCCACCCTATCATGAGACATCCAGTCCTTCATCACTGGAAAGTATGAATGGTTAAGTTTGATATCATTTAAAAAGCTTACAAACAGGGTTGTACAACTATTTTATAATTTCTTGAAAATAAATGTTTGAATAACAATTATGTAATTTTTTTGCCTTTAACGTCAATTATCTAAAAACGCGTAAACTGCTATTTAATTATTTATTTCGCATTTGTTGTAACTTAGACCCTATTTTACATAATCTGAGGTATTTGTGTTGTGCCCGTCATCGGTTGAGACACAACCTGCTCTGCCTGGTTCTTTACAGTGCTATGACTGGGCACAGAGTGAATCACACAGTGTGGTGTAATGCAGAGATGTGAAGCTATGTTCTTTCTTACCATCTCGGCAGTGAACTCTGGTGGGTTGTCGTTGATGTCGGTCACTTTGATGACGGCCGTGGCAGTGTTGGACAGGCCGTACATGGGGTTGCCCTCCATGTCTGTGGCCTGGATGATCAACGTGTACTGAGGCACTTTCTGCATGAAAAAAAATAAAGAAAACAGACATGTTGAAAAATAATCCACACCTAAACCTTTTGTTGAGCCTTGTGTACAGTATAAATTGGATCTTACATAAACCAAAATAATGATCCTTGTAAATTTCTCTCCCATTATTTTTTCCCCAATTCTCCTCTTAACCCGCTAGCTTTCAAACCACAACGAGGAATCCTAGTTATTCTCACAATGATCAAGTCTACATCAATTCCCTGTAGAGAGAGAAAGGAACAATAGAAGTCAGCTTGCTGTGGGAGTGCAACACTTCCACTCTGTGTAGCATCATGGTGCACGATGGGTAATCCCACTGTAACAAATGACTCCCTTCACATTAAAAGCTACTCAGGCGACGGACCAGTTCCTAGGTAATGAGAATCGGGCAAATTACTTTCATGGTGGCAAATGCCGTACATATAACAGCAGCCATGAGGCAAACTTGATTGAGTGGGCCAGCTATACATATTGCCTTCGCCAGAATTGCACAAATTGGCTTTGTTTTTTCCCTTCGACTTATATATTTATTCCGTAATTTTTCCCGTCCGTCTTCCTTCCAGTAAAAGCAAGGCCATCGCCATGCAATTAAATAGGAGTGTTACCATTAACAGCAATGGGGAGAGAAACATTTAGCTGCTCAATGATGCATGTTGCGTCCATGTTAGAGTAAATAAGTACGAAGCGGGTGATGAGTCAATTTCTGGGCTTCGTTGGTAAAATGGTAATCGGGCATACTTAGCAAACTTCATTAGTTTTGAGACACACTAAAGATTATCAGCAGCAAAAACAACTCAAAACTTTGCGGTTCTGTTTGTCTGCAATCTACAGCTCATTTAGGTAAACAAAGGAAAATATATCTTGATGTATGCGAGTTAGCGGAACGCCAAGCAGTGAAGGAGGAGCACATATGAATGAATGTGATAATGGGACTGTAACTTTAATGCTACTGCAATGGGGTTTAATAGGTGAGCACACACACACAAACTGCTGTATTGCGTACCTCTCTGTCCAGGCCGGCTGCGACGGTAATAATGCCTCCTGTCTTGTTGTTAATGGTGAACATGTTGGATGTCGGGCTCTCGGGATTCTGGGATACGATCTTGTAGCGCAGCATCCCATTGGCTGTTTTGGGGTCGTCTTTGTCAACAGACGTTACTGTCATAACAAAGGTCCCTGAGAAATGACAAGAGAGACAGAAGATGCAAATAGGGAATTTAACAAGGACCTTTAAAAAGGTATAACCTTGTTTTATTTCAGTACTGCATTTAATTGATCTAATACAGTCATTACACTAATGTTACTTCCCTACTATGAGGATCCACTGACTAACATGGAGCATAGTCGAAACACAGCCTAAATAAAAGCTTTGGCTTCGTCTGAAATGTTGACAATGCACTTCCACAAGAGAATACTTACTATTGGCAGAGATCTTATCCATATCGAACCACAGCCAAATTAACAAAATGATTACGCCTGTGATTCATCAATGCCGTTTGATGTAGTAATAGTCTAGTGGCACAGTGGGCCAGAGGCTGGAAGGTTAGTCTGGGCTCCTACCTGGTTTGGAGCCTTCGGGAACGGTGCCGTTCCAGATCTGATGGATGAACTCTGGCCGGTTGTCGTTCATGTCAATCACATTGATCACAATGTCGATGGGGCTCTCTACCTGGTTACCATTCAGATCCACAGCATGGGCTCTCAGCTGTAGGGAGACACCAGGGAGATATCAGCACTCAGCTGGTTGTGGTGGACACACATGCATACGCACGCACACATCCACGCATATACTTATTCATCCAGGCATACCATAACCAGAAAACAGAAAACATACCAAATTCATAGCAATGTAAGAACCATAAGCTAACACACTCCAATTTGCCAAAGCAGAACTTTGGCATTGTGATGGCTCTCTCCCTTACCTCTTTCCAGTTCTCTCAGATAAAAATAATGAGCCCAGAAATGTGCCTTTCAATTCTGTTAATGTTTGTTTCTTCACAGCGCAGCGCTTCCACCGATGCCCACTCCATTATCCAATTTACTGCTTTTACTGTCTGCCCACAGTCTAATACAAGTCTCACCCTGAATCAAATCAATAGCATTGGTTGCTAGACATATCACAACTCCCAAACAATGACCACTGACGTTTAATTAAATAGTTATGAGTGGGTCATGATATCCCTGGAGGTTATCATTACTTGTAAAATAGCTGCTTCTTTAAACAAATTCAATCACACGTTGAATCTTTCAAATTCTCAGACGGATAAGTCAGAGTTCCGGAATGCCTCCCAAACCCCCCAACCCTCTCTAGTGTACACTATTGAGGAGTGTTTGGACTACCAAGGGACCTTCAACACATGCCATTCAGCCTCCTGGAATGTACAGAATGTATGTATAAGCCAAATAGGACGCATACTGTACATCTCGATAAAGAGGGCTTAATGCTTGGTACTCTGTTTAGAAACCTTTTACTGTGTCACGACTTCCTCCGAGGCTGCCTCCTTTCCTTGTTCGGGCAGGCTTCGGCGTTCGTCGTCACCGGCCTTCTAGCCACTGTCGCTCCTCATCTCATCATTCCATTTGTTTTGTCTTGTTTATTACACACACCTGGTTCATATCCCCTCATCAGTACCTGTATAAGTGTTCCCTCTGCACCCTTGTCTTTGTGTGTGATTGTTTATTGTGGAGGAGAGAGAAGCTCGGTGGAGCTCCGTGTATTTTGTATCGCCGGGAATATTCCCCGTGTGCCTTGTATTTTCCAGTGCGCCTTTTTGCGCACTGGAGTGTTTTTACGCATTACTGCGTAACTCTGTGGTTCCGAATAAATCCTCTTATGCTGTGATTTACCCTCCTGCGCCTGACTCCTTCAAAATCACCTCATCACATACTGTAAACGCTTGGAATGTCTGCTCTGTTGCTCCTATTCACTGCACAGGTTGCATGGTCAAGTTACTCTCTCTTTCATGGAGAAAAGTCAATACAGTCAAACACACATCACTTTAGGTCATGCTGGGCCAAGGAAGGCTTGAGATTAATAGGACCTGCACACACTATTACTCCACCATACATTTATTTGCCTAGAAAATAACAACGTTTCGATCCAAAGTGGATCTTGACTTGACAGTGTGCGTGGTCCTAGTCATCTCCTCTCTCTCACGTAGGCCCATGTGTGTGTGTGTGAGAGACTTACGTGGAAGTTGGATATGTGTTCTCTGTCCAGGGGTTTCATGACAGACAGCTCTCCGGAGATGGGGTGGATTATGAAGATGCCGGTGGGCGGCTGGTCAGCTCCGGGTCCGGTCACACTGTACCTCAGGGAGCGGTTCTTGTCATTGTCCGACCGGATCTGTTTCAGAACCCGAAAGTAGGTTGGTTAAATGATGATCAATACTCAATTGTAGGTATATATACTGTTCAGAATTCTACTTCAAATAATAATGTCATGGCGGGGTATATATCGGTGTGTGTGTGTGCCCTGGAGTCCCGTTGGTGAGTGGTACAGACAGATCTTCCTCCCTTGCGTGTGTGTGTATTAGTGATGGGGGAACAATCGATACAGTTACATATCGGGATATTATTTTTGACAACATATCGTATCGTATAATTTATGACAATATCACAATATTATGTTTGCGTTAATTGGTTGTATCTGCACCAAAACAATTTTTTTTCAACACTTTTATTTCCATGACTGATCAGAACTCGTTTCTCATGACTCTCTCGTGTCCCTCTACAGTAGACATATGGTGAGCAATATGTTTGGACCATGGAATCACAATAATATCACAGTATTTAATCGCAATACATATCGAATTGTGAGAATCGCAATACATATCGTATCAGCACCTAAGTATTATGATAATATCGTATCGTGAGGTCCCTGGCAATTCCCAGCCCTAGTGTGACATTTATTTGTCAACAATCTACACAAAATACACTGTAATGTCAACGTTTTCTTTAATAAATAAAACATTCACAACAAAAATATAGTTGTTCAGCCTATTTGTTAAGGCAAGCCTAAATTAGTTCAGGAGTTAAATTTGTCTTAAGAAAATCACATAATAAGTTTAATGGACTCACTCTGTGTGAAATAGTAGGGGTTAACATACATTTTTTAACTACTAACTCTTCCTCTGTCCCCATGCATACATACATTTCGAGCACAGACTCAACAACAAAGACCAGGGAGCTTTTCGAAAGCCTCATAAAGAAAGGCAGTGATCGGTAGATGGGTAACAATAACAAATCAGACATTGAATATCTCTTTAAGCATGATCAAGTTAATAATTAAGCTGTGGATTATATATTAAACCACCCAGACACATCAAAGATACAGTCATCTTTCTGAACTGAGCTGCAAGACAGGAATGAAACTGCTCAGGGATGTTACCATGAGGCCATTGGTGATATTAAAACAGTTCAATGTCTGTGATGGTAGAAAACTGAGGATGGATCAACAACATTGTAGTGACTCCACAATAACGACATAAATGACAGAATGAAAAGAAGAATACAACTATACAGCAAAAAAACAACAAAGGAATACACTTTTTGGCCTAAATGCAAAGCCTTATGTTTGGGGTAAATCCAACACAACACATCACTGAGTAACTGCCTCTGTCACGGTTTCGGCCGAGGCTGCCTCTCTCCCTTGTTCGGGCAGGCTTCGGCGTTCGTCGTCTCCGGAATTCTAGCTGCCACCGATTGATGTTTCATGTTCGTTTGCTTTTGTCTGTTTGTTTCTACACCTGTTTCTGTTTTGTAGTAATTAGTGTCCTATAAGTTTCTCGTTGTGTTTGTCTTGTGTTGTGTGTGATTGTTACCGTCAGTCTGTGTATTGCTCGGTTGAGCGTTATTTTCTCCACTGTTTGCTGGAGCGTTCGTTGCACTTGTGTGTGCACTTATTTCATCCTGACGCACCTGTTTGTGCGCATTTGTCTTTTCGCCTTCGTGCGTATTTTGCTGTCAGGCTTATTTTGTCCTGTTGCCTGTGTTTAGGCAGGAATACAGCTTTTTGGAATTCAGTCTGCTTCCTGCGTTTGATTCCTACACCACACCTACAACACGACCTGACAGCCTCCTTATTTTCAAGCATGGTGGTGGCTGCATCATGGTATGGGTATGCTTGACATCGGCAAATACTTGGGAGTTTTTCAGGATAAAAATACATGGGATGGAGCTAAGAAAAGGCAAAATCCTAGAGGAAAACCTGCTTCAGTCTGCCATACACCAGAGTCTGGGAGAGGAATTCACCTTTCAGCAGGTCAATAACCAGGCCAAATGTACGCTGGAGTTGCTTACCAAGAAGGCAGTGAATGTTCCTGAGTGGCCAAGTTACAGTTTTGACTTAAAACTGCTTGAAAATCTATTGGAATACTTTAAAATTGCTATCTTGACAGAGCTTGAAGACTTTTGAAAATAATAATGGGTAAATATTGCACAATCCAGGTGTGCAAAGCTCTTATAGACTTACCTAAGAAGATTCACAGCTGTAATCGATGCCAAATGTGTTTCTAACATGTATTGACTCAAGAAGCTGAATACTATGCAATGACTATATTTTAGTTATTCAATTTCTATTAATCTTTAAAAAATGTTAGAATCTTTCTTCCACTTTGACATTACAGAATATTTTGTGTAGATTGTTGACAAAAAAATGACAAGTAAATACATTTTAATCCCACTTTGTAACACAATAAAATGTGAAGAAATCCAAGGGGTCTGAATACTTTTGCAAGGCTATGTGAGTGTGATATATTTGACCCTCTGTGTCTTCACTGTCCTGTCTATCTCTACCCATAAGCCTGGGTATCCATGGTGTGTTTGCATAGTGCCTGGTGCCTCACCCTTATGCCATCCATTAGACTCAGCAACATCCCCACCCCCTAATGCCCTTGGATTAAATATAATACATACAGACGTCATATACTGGACTTAGCACTCAGTCAGGAACCAGTAAGCTTACGTTGAGAAAGGATCTACTTCTTAACTGACATGAGAAAGATTGCCAGTCCTTCATCATTCACATCCACCCACCCACTGCTATGGAGAGAGGTTGTGTTTGTGTGTTTGTGTGTGTGTGTGTGTGTGTGTGTGTGTGTGTGTGTGTGTGTGTGTGTGTGTGTGTGTGTGTAGAAGGTAAATGGATGGGCTGGGAGTGTCCTTGAGCCCATGATAAAGGGAAGATAGTATCTCAACGGGGAAACAGGCCAATGGAGGGCTCTTTGTAATATTCACTGAGGTCTCTAACGCTACATCATACCAGGTTACATTCATATTTGTTATTGTGAAACAAACAAGAAATGAGACAAAAAAACAGAAAACATGAGCGTGCATAACTATTCACTCCCCAAAAGTCAATACTTTGTAGAGCCACCTTTTGCAGCAATTACAGCTGCAAATCTCTTGGGGTATGTCCCTATAAGCTTGGCACATCTAGCCACTGGGATTTTTGCCCATTCTTCAAGGCAAAACTGCTCCAGCTCCTTCAAGTTAGATGGGTTCCGTTGGTGTACCGCAATCTTTAAGTCATTCCACAGATTCTCAATTGGATTGAGGTCTGGGCTTTGACTAGGCCATTCCAAGATATTTAAATGTTTCCCCTTAAACCACTCAAGTGTTGCTTTAGCAGTATGCTTAGGGTCATTGTCCTGCTAGAAGGTGAACCTTCGTCCCAGTCTCAACTCTCTGGAAGACTGAAACAGGTTTCCCTCAAGAATTTCACTGTATTTAGCACCATCCATCATTTCTTCAATTCTGACCAGTTTCCCAGTCCCTGCCGATGAAAAACATCCCCACAGCATGATGCTGCCACCACCATGCTTCACTGTGGGGATTGTGTTCTCGGGGTGATGAGAGGTGTTGGGTTTGCGCCAGACATAGCGTTTTTCTTGATGGCCAAAAAGCTCAATTTTAGTCTCATCTGACCAGAGCATCTTCTTCCATATGTTTGGGGAGTCTCCCACATGGCTTTTGGCGAACACCAAATGTGTTTGCTTATTTTTTTCTTTAAGCAATGGCTTTTTTCTGGCCACTCTTCCGTAAAGCCCAGCTCTGTGGAGTGTACGGCTTAAAGTGGTCCTATGGACAGATACTCCAATCTCCGCTTTGGAGCTTTGCAGCTCCTTCAGGGTTATCTTTGGTCTCTTTGTTGCCTCTCTGATTAATGCCCTCCTTGCCTGGTCCGTGAGTTTTGGTGGGCGGCCCTCTCTTGGCAGGTTTGTTGTGGTGCCATATTCGTTCCATTTTTTAATAATGGATTTAATGGTGCTCCGTGGGATGTTCAAAGTTTCAAATATTTTTTATAACCCAACCCTGATCTGTACTTCTCCACAACTTTGTCCCTGACATGCTTGGAGAGCTCCTTGGTCTTCATGGTGCCACTTGCTTGGTGGTGCCCCTTGCTTAGTGGTGTTGCAGACTCTGGGGCCTTTCAGAACAGGTGTATATATACTGAGATCATGTGACAGCTCATGTGACACTTAGATTGCCCACATGTGGACTTTATTTAAGTAATTATGTGACTTCTGAAGGTAATTGGTTGCACCAGATCTTATTTAGGGGCTTCATAGCAAATGGGGTGAATACATTTGCACGCACCACTTTTCCGTTGTTTATTTTTTAGAATTTTTTGAAACAAGTAATTTTTTTCATTTCACTTCACCAATTAAGACTATTTTGTGTATGTCCATTACATTAAATCCAAATAAAAATCTATTTCAATTACAGGTTGTAATGCAACAAAATAAGAAAAACGCCAAGGGGGATGAATACTTTTGCAAGGCACTGTAGAACCATGAAGCTCAGATCAGAGCAAGACCATTTCCTTTGAGATTGTGGATATCTGGTGTGTGTGTGTGTGTGTGTGTGTGTGTGTGTGTGTGTGTGTGTGTGTGTGTGTGTGTGTGTGTGTGTGTGTGCAACATCTTACCCGGACCAGGTCCTGGGGGAACTCTCCTCTGGAGTTCTCGGGGACGTTGATTGGGGGGATGACCCAGTCTCTCTTCATGCGTTTGAGCTGGCCCACGGAGCTGCTGTCTGTCTGCCGCGATGGGAACCAGATCTCCTGGAGACCCTGGGACAGAGCTGGGGGAGCTTGGATGTCCTGGGCCTGAAGGAGAGAAATAACGTCAGGTTACTAACTGGACACATCTAAAAAACAATGGAAACTTCAGATAGACATTGAAAACAATATAACCGGACACATCTAGAAACCAATGGCTTTAGGTAGACTGTTCATACAGTAGCCACAAGACAAATTGTCTTTAACTACCAATGATGTGACGGAAAGAATTCAAGAGAATCTAAATTCCTGCCTGACCTAAAACTGTTTTTGTAATATCATTAAATTATACCCGCTAGATGACCAAATGTAAGAGCTTTTGGGGGGCTTTTTGATGTGGTCACATTATATTTTAGGATCCATTTTGTCTTTGAGAATTCAGTGAAGGTTAACATTGCCTCCATATGTGTGATGATGTGTTTGGACAGCCTCTCTTCCAGGCTTTCAGTGAGAAACATGGCTGGGAATGAGAGTAGTGTTTGAGATGCTTTGTTGAGGATAGTACTGCAGCCCTTCAGTTAGCTTTAAATCACAGACCTCCTCTCATGTCCTGATAAAAGCATGCATCATCTCCTGATAAAAGCATGCTCACACACACACACACACACACACACACACACACACACACACACACACAGAAAGGCTTCTAAAATGGATGTGCCATCCTCCCTTGGCTGTAATGAATGTGATTTGAAACAAAGGAGGATGGTACCTGCAAGCCAGACTCTAAATACCCAGATGGCTCCAATTGCCTATGCTGTTCCACAGAGAGAGACTGTTGGGAGAGAGACTGAAGTAGCGCCAGAGAAGTCACAATAACCTTGAACGCTCCATGGTAAAATGAAAACAAGACGCCGGCAAACTTAGGTAGTCAAAGTCAGTGAATGACAGATGCAATTTCCCTGCTGCACAACAGTCATGCCTCAGAAAGTCCCTTATTTACTCTCTCTCCTCCGTCTGTAATTACTGATCGCCAATTCGTTACACAGTATCCCAAGTACTGAAACTAGCCGAAAGTTCTCTGTGCCAACAGCTAAATGAATGACTTTTTTGCCTTACAACACGAGCCCCATCCCACGCCACCTCGGCACGCATGCCGCCCCTCCCTGACGATCTGCGGAGCTGTCGGAGCATCTCTACTAATCATGTTTGAAATCCGATTATGCTGCTTTCACACATTTGAAATGCAGAGAGGCAAGCGGACAGATAGCGGGGAACATGCTTCAGAAATATCTATTACCCTATTAAACTGAAGGAGAAAGTGGGAGCTGTAATTATTTGTGACCTGGCGTCTGGAATGATGAATGGTGTGGAGGGTTTGCTTAGAAGCCTTAGCCCCAACACACATCTATCTATCTCTGGAGTGTACTGCAGGTCTCTCTGCACCCTGTCGGAGTTTACCCAACTCCAACTTCTGACTGTGTGTGTGTGTGTGTGTGTTGTTATAGACAAGTACAAAATCACCCTCTCTAAGGGTGGGTCTTGGTTTTCAGCCTGACTCTTTTGGTGATGTTGATGGTAGTGGCAGGGGAGGTCACTTTGATGTTAATGAGCCAATTGTTACTTCTTCATTGATTAACACTAGAACCACTAAAGCAGTCATTTTGACTGCTCATGAATTTATATATTTTATTACTCTGCCATTTTTAAAGTCATGCCCCACTCTGTCCTTGACTTTTCCTAAATAAGTCTATATAACACACTGCCGTTGTTAGAATCATAATATCACAAACAGAATTGGAGTTATAACCATTTTTAGGAGGGCGTGTCATTATTTGAATGGTTTTCTCCTTTGACCAACAGTAGGGCCTGCGCCGCTCATTCTCCCAACATGGGACAGTGCAGAGGCCAGTTGATAATCACCCCGATAATTGCCTCGAAACTGAACCTAAACTATACCGAACCTAATTTCACACATATAACAACAGATGAAATATATGAAATAAAGTATGATGGGGGAGAAAGGGGGAGCATGGGTTAGTTGATGAGTGAGGGGAAGTGGATAACGCATAATTATGTAATCACCAATTGTGAATGAATAACAGGGCGGGCCATTCTATTGTATTGGTATATTATAATTATAATCAAAAAATGGTATGTACCCTATATCAGTCGACCAAATCCAAGCAGTCTTAGCAGTCTACTCTGGCCTACTTGTAGTACACAGTGAGAGCCTGCGTAATTTACAATGGCAAGAAGACCAAGACGAATGGATGCACATGCTGCTTTCGAGCTGCTAGAAGATCTGAAGGAAAACGACTCAGAGGGTGGGGAAGAAATAAATGATGACATCTCTGATGATTATTCTTCTGATTCTGAGCCTCTACAGAATGGTACCCACTGAGCAGGTGCCCGCGCCACCACCAAATGAAACGGTAAGACGGGAGAAAGGAAGTGATGACACCGTTTGGGAAATGATCCACATCGGGCAGCAGGTGAGCGAGTGTCGGAGAATGTGGTGATGAGGCTTGTGGAACCTTACATTGGCAAGGGGAGAAATGTCACCATGGACAATTTCTTCACTTAACTGTCATTGGTGAACAAGACGCTTGCAAATAAAACAAGTCTGGCCGGCACCATGAACAAAGCGAGACGGGAGCTCCCTCCCTTTGTGCAAAATAAGATCCTACACAGCCGTTGTAATCCACAACGGTGCTGAAGAATGACAAGACAACACTTACACTATACCAACGCAAGGCAATAAAGAATGTTTCTGTCATGAGCACCATGCATCCGACGGTTGCCATCGACAGGGACACAAAGAGAAAAACTGATACTATTACGCACTACAACCAAAGGTATGTCAACATTACATAATAGACATCGCCATGTATATATATATATATATATATATATATATATATATATATATATATATATATACGGTGCCTTCGGAAAGTATTCAAACACCTTGACTTTTTCATAACTTTGGTACGTTACAGCCTTATTCTAAAATGAATAAAATATATTTTTTTCATCATCAATCTAAACACAATACCCCATAATGACAAAGCGAAAACATTTTTTTAGAAAATTTAGCAAATGTATTAAAAATAAAAAACAGAAATACCTTATTTACATAAGTATTCAGACAATTTGCTATGAGACTCAAAATTGCGCTCAGGTGCATCCTGTTTCCATTGATCATCCTTGAGATGTTTCTACAACTTGATTGGAGTCCACCTGTGGTAAATTAAATTCATTGGACATGATTTCGAAAGGCACACACCTGTCTATATAAGGTCTCACAGTTGACAGTGCATGTCAGAGCAAAAACCAAGCCATGTGGTCGAAGGAATTGTCCGTAGAGCTCCGAGACAGGATTGTGTCGAGGCACAGATCTGGGGAAGGGTACCAAAAAATTTCTGCAGCATTGAAGGTCCCCAAGAACACAGTGGCCTCCATCATTCTTAAATGGAAGAAGTTTGGAACCACAATGACTCTTCCAAGAGCTGGCTGCCCAGCCAAACTGAGCATTCGGGGGAGAAGGGCCTTGGTCAGGGAGGTGACCAAGAACCTGATGGTCACTCTGACAGAGCTCCAGACTTCCTCTGTGGAGATTGGAGAACCTTCCAGAAGGACAACCATCTCTGCAGCACTCCACCAATCAGGCCTTTATGGTAGAGTGGCCAGACGGAAGCCACTCCTCAGTAAAAGGTACATGACAGCCCGCTTGGATTTTGCCAAAAGGCAACCTAAAGGACTCTCAGACCATGAGAAACAAGATTCTTTGGTATGATGAAACCAAGATTGAGCTCTTTGGCCTGAATGCCAAGCGTCATGTCTGGAGGAAACCAGGCACCATCCCTACGGTGAAGCATGGTGGTGGCAGTATCATGCTGTGGGGATGTTTTTCAGCATCAGGGACTGGGAGACTAGTCAGGAACGAGGGAAAGATGAATGGAGCAAAGTATAGAGAGATCCTTGATGAAAACCTGCTCCAGAGCGCTCAGGACCTCAGACTGGGGCGAAGGTTCACCTTCCAATAGGACAACGATCCTAAGCACACAGCCAAGACAACGCAGTAGTGGGTTCGGGACAAGTCTCTGAATGTGGCCCAGCCAAAGCCCGGACTTGAACCCAATCGAACATCTCTGGAGGGACCTGAAAATAGCTGTGCAGCAACGCTCCCCATCCAACCTGACAGAGCTTGAGTGTATCTGCAGAGAAGAATGGGAGAAACTCCCCAAATACAGGTGTGCCATACCCAAGAAGACTCTAGGCTGTAATCGCTGCCAAAGGTGCTTCAACAAAGTAGTAGTAAAGGGTCTGAATACTTATGTAAATGTGATATTTCAGTTTTATTTAAAAATAATATATATATATATATATACAGTGGGGAGAACAAGTATTTGATACACTGCCGATTTTGCAGGTTTTCCTACTTACAAAGCATGTAGAGGTCTGTAATTTTTATCATAGGTACACTTCAACTGTGAGAGATGGAATCTAAAACAAAAATCCAGAAAATCACATTGTATGATTTTTAAGTAATTAATTTGCATTTTATTGCATGACATAAGTATTTGATACATCAGAAAAGCAGAACTTAATATTTGGTACAGAAACCTTTGTTTGCAATTACAGAGATCATACGTTTCCTGTAGTTCTTGACCAGGTTTGCACACACTGCAGCAGCGATTTTGGCCCACTCCTCCATACAGACCTTCTCCAGATCCTTCAGGTTTCGGGGCTGTCGCTGGGCAATACGGACTTTCAGCTCCCTCCAAAGATTTTCTATTGGGTTCAGGTCTGGAGACTGGCTAGGCCACTCCAGGACCTTGAGATGCTTCTTACGGAGCCACTCCTTAGTTGCCCTGGCTGTGTGTTTCGGGTCGTTGTCATGCTGGAAGACCCAGCCACGACCCATCTTCAATGCTCTTACTGAGGGAAGGAGGTTGTTGGCCAAGATCTCGCGATACATGGCCCCATCCATCCTCCCCTCAATACGGTGCAGTCGTCCTGTCCCCTTTGCAGAAAATAATCCCCAAAGAATGATGTTTCCACCTCCATGCTTCACGGTTGGGATGGTGTTCTTGGGGTTGTACTAATCTTCTTCTTCCTCCAAACACGGCGAGTGGAGTTTAGACCAAAAAGCTATATTTTTGTCTCATCGGACCACATGACCTTCTCCCATTCCTCCTATGGATCATCCAGATGGTCATTGGCAAACTTCAGATGGGCTGGCTTGAGCAGGGGGACCTTGCGTGCGCTGCAGGATTTTAATCCATGACGGCGTAGTGTGTTACTAATGGTTTTCTTTGAGACTGTGGTCCCAGCTCTCTTCAGGTCATTGACCAGGTCCTGCCATGTAGTTCTGGGTTGATCCCTCACCTTCCTCATGATCATTGATGCCCCACCAGGTGAGATCTTGCATGGAGCCCCAGACCGAGGGTGATTGACCGTCATCTTGAACTTCTTCCATTTTCTAACAATTGCGCCAACAGTTGTTGCCTTCTCACCAAGCTGCTTGCCTATTGTCCTTTAGCCCATCCCAGCCTTGTGCAGGTCTACAATTGTATCCCTGATGTCCTTACACAGCTCTCTGGTCTTGGCCATTGTGGAGAGGTTGGAGTCGGTTTGATTGAGTGTGTGGACAGGTGTCTTTTATACAGGTAACGAGTTCAAACAGGTGCAGTTAATACAGGTAATGAGTGGAGAACAGGAGGGCTTCTTAAAGAAAAACTAACAGGTCTGTGAGAGCCAGAATTCTTACTGGTTGGTAGGTGATCAAATACTTATGTCATGCAATAAAATGCAAATTAATTACTTAAAAATCATACAATGTGATTTTCTGGATTTTTGTTTTAGATTCCATCTCTCACAGTTGAAGTGTACCTATGATAAAAATTACAGACCTCTACATGCTTTGTAAGTAGGAAAACCTGCAAAATCGGCAGTGTATCAAATACTTGTTCTCCCCACTGTATATATATACAAAAACAGCTGTCATTATGGGGTATTGTGTGTAGATTGATGAGGGAAAAAAAACAATTTAATCCATTTGAGAATAAGGCTGTAACATAACAAAATGTGGAAAAAGTTAAGGGGTCTGAATACTTTCCGAATGCACTTATGCAATGCATTATGGTCTTCTGTAAAACACTTGTTTTTTTTTCCTAATGTTTTCTACTCTATTCTGTTCCGCAGGTTGGTGTGGATGTTTTGGATCAGATGGCACGGCTGTACGCTGTGAAAGGAGTCACCCGCCACTGGCCTGTTGCTGTGTTCTACAACATTCTTGACTTGGCTGCTATCAACGCACACGTGTTGTTCGAGCAGTGCATGGACAACACCATGCCCAGGAAAGACTTCATCATGAGTCTAGTATACGGGCTACATGAGCGACATATGAGGGCGAAGACAGTATGAGGGCCAAGACAGCAGCAAAGATTCCACGTGAGCCTTTGCGCGAGGCAGATTTCGCACAGCTCCTGGGGAGGAGACAGTGCCAGGTGGCCAGATGCACAAAGAACAGAACCCAAGACACCTGTGTCACCTGCAAGCGACGTGTTTGTGGGAAGTGTGTCAAGCAAGTGAAAGTGGCGAAGATTTGTGTGGACTGTTAGTACAAGGGATAACCGCTAAATAAAATCCAACTAATGCCATTACGTGAAAAACGCAGATCATTACATTTTAGTCATTTAGCAGACGCTCTTATCCAGAGCAACTTTCAGTTAGTGAGTGCATACATTTTTTCATACTGGTCCCCCGTGGGAATCAAACCCACAACCCTGGCATTGCAAGCGCCATGCTCTACCAACTGAGCTACATGTAAGCATGAGCTGACAATAACTGACTATTTTTGACTGCAGTCATATCGACACTTATATTCATAATCTTTTCCAGATTTTCACTATGTATCAAGCACACTTGGCGCTTATAATGATGTTTAGGCTACTGTTTTCATCATTTGACCGCGTGTTTTGCTGACCATGCATCCGCCTTTGTGGTTGGGGTATTTCGTAAAGAAAATAAAATATATAAAAAGAAGCTGTTACCGTGTTCCAACACACAGGGGCACAACTTTTACTGGGGACGGGGGGGGGACATGTCCAACACACAGGGGCACATTCTGAAATTGCATTGTTGTCCCCCCCAGTTTTATCATTGGAATGTGATACAAAATGAGGCAACGGTGTGCTTTAGGACCATGCGGACGCCTCTGAGCAGTCGGGTAGGCTGTTTGTAGTGTTTATCCGACTGGGGGGAAAAAACATATATATATATATATATATATTATGTCCCCCCCACTTCTAAAACCAAAGTTGCACCCCTACCTACACATATGGTTTCTGTTTCATAGTTGTAACAAAGGCACTCCAGGAATGAAATGTATTGAACAGTTGAATGTTGGTGTGTTTTTTTGTTGTTGTTATGTTTCTTTTACATACAGCCTACAGTAACATAAACTAATGAAAATGCTATTTTGTTATTTGAAATGGGGGGGAAAATAATATTCTAATGTTACACCTTCATGAACACAACCAAATAATGATTTTAGTGATTGCATATATTAAATGTATTTATTACACTGTTAGAATGTTGCAGTCAGAATTACAGCTAGTTAGCTTGAAGGGGGGTCCCTCAAGGCCCAGCGGTCCTAGTGTAAAAACATTCCCCCAGGGCCGATGCATTCGCAGCGCTCGCTAATATAGCATCTAATCGCTGATGTAATTAAGGATCACATGATGATGATTCATGACAGCCATTGCATTGGAGAGATAACCACATAACCAGATAACCACACATGGCCCAATAAACTGGTGAGATAGAATATAGAAGTCAATCAGAGATTTGATTACTACCATGTCATCAAGGCCAAAGCCACAACTGTCAATACAGTTCAGTCAATCACATTGACAAACACCACTGACATTGACATCAATTGTCAATCAGAGACTAGGCCCACCCTTCTAAAAAGCACATGCTTACCCATTTGGGTCTGCTTATTTCTAGTTAAAAGCTACTGTGGCCAAGCCCCTTGTTTATCTGCCCTGGACATGTGCATTTCTCTTTAAATGAGCAACACGGGTGACTAATTATGTCATTAGAATCACATACCTGCAGGAGTCACTATGGTAAATGAGCATCAGTGGCTAACGATGCTGTTTTCAAAACCATCGCTAAATCATCCCCTGTAGAATTTTAAACCTCCGCTGCTGCACTCACACTAACTAGACATAACTCTCAACAGTTTTAATCTGGAGGCTTATAAAAGAAGGCACTCGCCTTTTATGTGGTGGTTTCGGAGAGGTGCTTTTGAAATGGGCTGCTTGTGTAGCTAATTTGACCTGTATATGACTGGAGGAAGAGACAATGTATTTTCAGACGGTGTCTTTGTTGAACAAAGAGGCTCATTGTACTGTACTTAGAGGCATTCATTAACAATGAAAGTCCACAACGTAAGATCAGACAACGCTGACTTCAATAATTCAACCTAAAACAGCTCACTCACACCGGTGCAAATTGGGTTGAGAGAGAGAGAAAGAGAGAGAGGGCTGAAAGAGAGAGCAAGAGAGAGAGAGAGAGAGAGAGAGAGAGAAAGCCTCCCAAAGAGCTTAAATGTGAGTCTGTGCTGTCTTGCCAATTAACACCATTCCAGCTAACGAGAAATAAAGACTGTCACAGATTATGGCAGTTCAATTGAACAGGAATACATTTACATTTACATTTACATCATTTAGCAGACACTCTTATCCAGAGCGACTTACAGGAGCAATTAGGGTTAAGTGCCTTGCTTAAGGGCACATCGACAGATTTTTCACCTAGTCAGCTTGGGGATTAGAACCAGCGACCTTTCGGTTACTGGCACAATGCTCTTACCCACTAAGCTATCTGCCGCCCCGAATACATAATCGAGTACTGAGTATGAGGTGAAAAATACAAACACAGCCGTTTGAGTCTCGTTTCTCCTCATCTCCCTGTTCTCTCTCTCTCCGTCACACACTTGATTACATCACCACATCACACGGCCACTCTCATCTACAGCCAATCACAATGTTGACTAATGAGCACATGGTCAAGCGTTAGCGATGTCTGTCAAGCCCAGCGGAACACTGACTGAATGGCGGCTCTTTAAAGCCTAGAGATAGATGATGTCTGTCCTTTGAATCACATTTACATAAGTATTCAGACACTCAGTACTTTGTTGAAGCACCTTTGGCAGCGATTACAGCCTCGAGTCTTCTTGGGTATGACGTTACAAGCTTGGACACCTGTATTTGGGGAGTTTTTCCCATTCTTCTCTGGAGATCCTCTCAAGCTTTGTCAGTTTGGATGGGGAGCGTCGCTGCACAGCGGACATTCCGGACATTCAGAGACTTGTCCCAAAGCCACTCCTGCGTTGTCTTGGCTGTGTGCGTGGGGTTGTTGTCCTGTTGGAAGGTGAACCTTCGCCCCAGTCTGAGGTCCTGAGCGCTCTGGAGCAGATTTCATCAAGGATCTGTCTGTACTTCGCTCCGTTCATCTTTCCCTCGATCCTGACTAGTCTCCCAGTCCCTGCCGCTGAAAAACATCCCCACAGCATGACGCTGCCACCAACATGCTTCACCGTAGGGATGATGCCAGGTTTCCTCCAGACATGACGCTTGGCATTCAGGCCAAAGAGTTCAATCTTGGTTTCATCATACCAGAGAATCTTGTTTCTCATGGTCTGAGAGTCCTTTAGGTGCCTTTTGGCAAAATCCAAGCGGGCTGTCATGTACCTTTTACTGAGGAGTGGCTTCCGTCTGGCCACTCTACCATAAAGGCCTGATTGGTGGAGTGCTGCAGAGATGGTTGTCCTTCTGGAATGTTCTCCCATCTCCACAGAGGAACTCTGGAGCTCTGTCAGAGTGACCATCGGGTTCTTGGTCACCTCCCTGACCAAGGCCCTTCTCCCTTGATTGCTCAGTTTGGTCGGGCGGCCAGCTCTAGGAAGAGTCTTGGTGCTTCCAAACTTCTTCCATTTAAGAATGATAGAGGTCACTGTGTTCTTGGTGACCTTCAATGCTGCAGACATTTTTTTGGTACCCTTCCCCAGATCTGTGCTTCGACACAATCCTGTCTCGGAGCTCGATGGACAATTCCTTCGACCTCATGTCTTGGTTTTTGCCCTGGCATGCACTGTCAACTGTGGGGCCTTATAAAGACAGGTGTGTGCCTTTCCAAATCACATTCAATCAATTGAATTTACCACAGGTGGACTCCAATTAAGTTGTAGAAACATCTCAAGGATGATCAATGGAAACAGGATACACCTGAGCTCAATTTCGAGTCTCATAAAAAAGGGTCTGAATACTTATGTAAATAGGGTATTTCAGTTTTTTTATTTTTAATACATTTGCAAAAATTTATAAAAACCTGTTTTTGCTTTGTCATTATGGGGTATTGTGTGTAGATTGATGAGGACATTTTTTTATTGAATACATTTGAGAATAAGGCTGTAACATAACAAAATGTGGAAAAAGGGAAGGGGTCTGTCCCCTCCCCTAATTGAAGTAAACTAATGGACAACAACACTTAGGCTTCAAGTTATCTTTAGTTTTTAGTTCCATCCTTCAGCTACACTCAACCCCTCCCAACTATCTCTTAAGACCATCCAGTTTTTATTTCTATTTGCCATATATTTTTCAATTGTGCTGTGATGTTTCTACAGATTGTAAATGAAGGATAAACATTATTATATTATTGATCGATTGACTATGACCTTTCAGATCACCCAGCAGTGCTATTTGCAGAGTTAACTCCAGGTAAATGCTGCAATTCTTCAGCTATTCCTGAACCTTCGACCAAAAACAAGCTACATATGGACTGTACCAAAACATTACGTTTTAATTAGCGAGCATCCATTCAGTCTCCCGGAACATCTGCTACAATTTAGGGAACAAATCATCTGTTTATGCTCCAGCGTGGCTAATGAGCGGAATTGGATGCAACGGCGGTATCCGAATTGAAACATTCCACATTCCACAATGCTACCGGAAGTCACAAATAAACAATAAATATTAGAGAGAGAGGGGGTAGGAGGGAGGATGCATGTGGAGGTGTTGGACGTACCTGCTGAATCTGGCCTACAGGGGGCGTCAGTCTCACTTGGGTCTGCCATTGCTGCTGATTGGTCTCGTCCCTGGCTACGATCACTAGGGGCACTGCCCGGAGGGTGGACAAGGTCAAAGGCCTGAGGGCGTAGACGACCCCGTCAGCATCTATCCGGAAGTTGGACGGGTTACTGCACTCGAACCGCACCAGCCCACCTTGGCCGCAGTTCACAAACTTCACTGTAAGAGAGGGAGAGGGGAAACAGAACATGAGATTGAAGCTGAGGCAACCAGGGAGAGAGAGACAGAAAGACAGCAAATAGACACTCACACAGACAGACGGACATCCAGACTTCTCCCACACCACTCACAGACTGTGTGGTATAGTCCACAAAGGTTCTCCAATTCCTCCTAAAACTCATGCATAATTTATGTCAAGCTGCGCCCTAAAGGTATTGTTCAAAACAGGTGTGGTAGAGAGAGGGAAGGAGAAAGAGAGAGAGAAAAGAGAAAAGTAAAGAAAGCAAAAGGGGAGATGTGCACCCCTGAAGGGCACTTGCTGAATGTGAGTCTGTTAGATGACTGAATGTAATGTAAATGTTGAGAGGCTTCACCGCAAATAGATTGTATGTTTTAATATTCCCAAAAAAGAAGAAGAAATAAGAAGAGGAAAAAGAAAGAAAGCTAAAATACCAAAACATTTTGCATTTTAAAACTGTTGTGCCAATTAGACTTTGGCTAAATGAACTGTTGTGTCTGGGTAAATAGAAGCATCAGCTTCAATAAATAAGATAATAATTATTTAAATGGGTTCTAGACTTTTTCCTTATTGCTTTTAGCTCAAGTCGTTGCACGGTAGCTTTTTCCCCAATGACAAAAGCGGATGCTTCGCCGTGGTCGGCTAGCGATCCCAACTCTCAGGGAGTGAGAAGTGTGTGATGTTTATTTCATAAGTGAGTACACATACACACATACACGTACACACACACACACACACACACACACACAGCTGCAGTGACACACACATACATGGCTCCGGGGAGCTCTAGTACACAGTCCCAGAGCGCTTCAGTGGCAGTGGTCTGACATCGGTTCATGTTACAGGTGAGTGACAGTGCATCTCAAACACCCCACCTGCACACACACACACAGACTCATGTACACAAAAATCTATGCACACGCACACACACATACACATACACACACACTTCAATATTCCAGTACCTATTCAGTGCCTCCTGACAGCTCTGTTTTCTGTAGCGGTGATAGAGAACAGAACACAGCCTACAGATAATTCTGAAACTCCTTCAAGCTAAAGAGATAAGACGTAAAGATATCACTTCTATGGAGGCTGTGCCGATGCCATTTTGAATTATTAAACCAGATGTGGAATGACTTTACAAAAGCCTTGAAGAAGGGCATCTAATCTCCCATTCTTGTGTTACCTTGATGACAGAGAGAGCTATAGAGAGCTGTGACTTCAGAGGGTCTTTACGTTGGAGGCACAGCAGTGTGAGGTAACGCGTCACATGTGGAGGGAGGGAGGCTGAGCCCTGGCTCTGAACAGGAACTAAGGTTTAACCCCAGGCCCTATTGACTGGGTGCTGTGCAAGGATGTTGGTGTAAAAAGCTAGGTGCTACTATTTTTATTTTGCACACTCGCACAAACACACACACATACAGTACACACACACACTGAAATACAATTCACTACCTACTAATAACCTTTTTGTGACATAGAGAATTAACACTGTCTTGCTAGTTGAACTAAAGCCTTTTGTTTTCGCTTGCTTCCGGCTCTCAACATAATACACAAAATGTACCAGTTCCTTTCTATTCCAGAACATAAAGCACAATGGCTAAACCACCACAGCAGGAGATAGAGCAATTTTCCCAATGGCAAAGTATTGTGAAATTCTGAAAATTGGGCAAAGCATAAAGAGAGGGGAAAAAAACATTCGCTTAGTCAGACTGATGATTTTCACAGTGGACACAAAGGTATCCAGTGGAGTGTACCTTACCGAATTAACCACCATGTCCTCGCCAAAAGCGGACAGAAATACAGGCTTTTTTTTTTAAGGACATAATGTTCACATCTTTTTCAAAAACCTGAAAACAGAGGTGAGGAGAGAGAGACCTAGAGATAAGCCGAGAGAAGAGAAAAAAAAAAAGAGGGTTAAAATTAATAAATACTGTACAAGCACCTAGTCCTGTTGGGAGAAACATTTGAAAGGACCCTGGATGCAACCCATTACATTGTGCTAGACAGATAAAGCATCGCATCTGCCAACAAAGCCACAGCACGGTACACTGGTCTGCTGCTCCTGAGGAATTGCCATTCATCTAAATATTGATGAAAAGCACACATAGGTGTCTCAGAGAGTGGCTCAGCATTGTGGGGGGAAAAAGCAAAGAGTAAACACTCTATGTAATGAAGATATACAAGATACAACGGGAGGAGAATCTATACTGGAACCAAACGCACCACAGGCCTATATATTGACCATCTGCACACTGCACAGAGCTTTTGTTCAAGCATCCTCATCCAATTAGTTTTTAAAAAATCTTTGAACCTGGAAAAGCAGACTTCAGAGCGCTAAGTGACCTTGGTTAGCTGAAGGTGTTTCCTTCCAGCCATCCGTCTGTAATTTCAAAGCCTTCAGGCAATCAACTCAACAGCAGTAGTCCGGCTGATGCTCAGACACATAGGCAGAATACAGAGAGAAGTGTCAGAATGGCTCAGCTCACAATGACAGCTTCTCGAAGGTCTGCTGAGTGGATGAGACTTGAGAGACATAACATACTGTATCATTAAAGGGAGAGGTGAGACAATCTAATTCACACGCTCTATTGCTAATGAGATATATTGATTGGCTCGCTGAAACGCTCTGTTTGTTGTGGTCTATAGGATCAAAGAGATGATAAGAACATGATTAGTGTTAATATTGCTTCATCTTAATGATCATTTATGGGGCTGGTCCTGGCTAGCTGCTGAGCTGAGCCTGGTCGGACGCTCCCAATTTAATTACAAACAAGGCTGCAATGTTGCACCCTGTGTGTGTGAGGATGTACAGTGTGTGTGTGTCTGGGTGTGTGTAATACCATGGGTTAGCCCAGTGTTTCCCAAACTCGGTCCTGGGGACCCCAAAGGGTGCACGTTTTGGTTTTTGCCCTAAAGCTTGATGATTAGTTGATTATTTTAATAAGCTGTGTAGTGCTAGGGCAAAAACCAAAATGTTGGGACCCTTGGGGCCCCGAGGACCGAGTTTGGGAAACCCTGGGTTAGCCTGTATTTGACTGCAGTAGTTTCCCTGTGAGCCTTTGTGGCACTGAGGCCTGTTGTTGGGATGCTGAGCTCTAGTTCTCTAGCTCAGTCTGAGATTTGGCCATGTGAACACCTCTGGGAGGCCCTTCAGCAACCAGGCGCCATGGCAATCGCTGTGCAAATTCCCAGCAGGCAGCACAAATTCCAATAATAATGAATGGGGATGTCCAGCATGAGTCTATTCATTTATCAGCCCGAAGCTCCCATAGCCTATAGGAGACAGGAGCAGCATTTACTAACCCTGGATGTTCCAGTTTATCTATATCTAGATTTATCGGCTCCCCGAGGTATAACGAAACTTAAAGAGATCCTCGCTGACAACACCACCACCACCACGCCCTATTAGACATGTCGTCATGGCCACAGGGCCAGGGAGATAAAGGTCTTTGGTTTGGACAGAAACGCCGATGCAGCAGAGAGAGGGGTATATACTGCTGCTGCTGGGGGGGAAGAAAACAGGCCAGTCAGCAGAAAGGCCAGTCCAACTAATGCCCCACGCCGGGGCCCAAAATTACCTCCGACTCAACGAGCCCATTCACAGGCTTATAGAAACCCCCGCAGCTGACTAGCAACACACAAAAAAAAAACAGCTAACCTCCTCAAAGTGCCACTCTTTTGTCTGTCTCCATCACGTGGTGCTGCTAACAGACTGGCACAAATACAGAGAGGAGACAGAGAGAGGAGACAGAGAGAGAGAGAGAGAGAGAGAGAGAGAGAGAGAGAGAGAGAGAGAGAGAGAGAGAGAGAGAGAGAGAGAGAGAGAGAGAGAGAGAGAGAGAGAGAGAGAGAGAGAGCGAGAGAGCGAGAGAGAGATACATCATTTGCTTAATTTGCAGCGTCCCAGAGAACTGTCACACGGGACAGCCGTTTTTTTAAGACTTAAAATATCTAATTCTCATGCAGCCTACCTCACAGTGGGAACATATAACGAGGTCGTCTGTGGTAGCCTAACGTCGAGACAGTACATAAAATGTTCCATAGTTTATATCTTTTTATGCCTGTCTGCCAATCCAGTATAGTGGCACTAAGTTAGTAAAAAGCCGGTCCCTGTAATGTGCTGTAAATGTGGCAAGACTGAGCACCACGTCATTTAGTTTGTCCTCCAGCTGGTGATGTCACTGACAGGCATAAAATACTCAGCATAGGTGTTTCATCAGTCGCCTGGCAGAAATGCAGACCCCGGCGAATGCTCCAAAGGCAATCCAAGCGGGCAAATGCCAGGACGCCACTGATAAAAATGCATTTTCACGAACACAGATCACCAAATCTAGTTCATGCTCTAACTCTGGGCCTAGCTGGCTGCATTGGAGATGAGACAATGCAATATATCACATAGGCTCCAAATGAGCTGTGCTCAGTGGAACATCCATGCAAGAGGACGTTGTTTACAAGATGGTGGCTAAGCTGAAACTCAGCCAGGTCACACGCCGGTGCCTCAATTAAAGTGCTAAGAAAGCCACTCTATAGAAAAATGAAATGGTGTCTAAATGAATAAATGGCAATTTGAGATCTAGTTTGAGATCACAAAACATCTATTTTCTGAAATGAAATTAGGACTTTCTGCTATTGCACCCTTCACAATATTATGTCCTATAATTGTCAAATTATTATATAAAAAGTGAAAGGAACACCATACTGATGCTTTTAAAGTATCATAACTTGATACTACCCATACATATGCATGCCTGTGTACATCATTCCCCTGTAGGTGGTGTTTAAGCTTTTACTCTGAGTAAATGTTCTAAACCCTCAAGGTTAATAAGGCATTTTAGCTGGTTAGCCTATAGCTTCTTTTGTCAAACCTTTTTTTCCATCTTAAGAATCTAAAACCCATTCATTCTGCAGAGATTAGGCTCTAGCAGCAATGTCCTTGCGCTGAGTATAAGGGAACTCTTGAGGGAAAGTAAACAGTTTACAGTTGATGTCTGGATGTTGGAATGACAAGGCTGGGCTTTGCCAGACCGGGCCTTGCTTGAAGGGGTTTTACTAATGCAAAGCACTTCAAACACCACAGAGAGCCATGTGTTTAAGGCTCTGCCTAAAATATGTACAGGATTTGCATGAAAGAAACATGGAGAAATGTCGACTTGCCCCACTAATTTCTGCAAAATAAACTTGTGAAGAAGGAAAAGGCTATCAAAGTCACACAGGCTACGCTATAGGCAGCAGCCTTACTTATGGTGACCAACTCCCACGACAATTATGTGTTATTGCAGAAGACGTTGCCCCCTCCTGAAACTGAGGCTTCAATTAAAGGATGAAAACACACTACCAAATTGCATTGATACCACCTTTCTTTACCATGCACGCCCACACTGGCACAAACACACACAGAGACACAACCAGCACAAGCAGCATCATCATAGCAGCTAGCAGCAATATCCTATGCAGGTCCCTTTCAATCTCAGATAGACTGACCTATGGGTTCTCTGGATATGCTAAACGGACCCCTTGCCCTGAGGGAATAAAACAGTCTTGTTCCATAAATGAGATTCTCTCCTGTTCTCCTTTCTCTTTACACTTAGCATTTCTCTCACGTCAGCACATGACCATTTGCTCTCCCGGGGGCCAGCGGGCTTGTCTGACAGTCATTGTATTGGGAGGACAATAACAAGGTAAGCAGATCGACTCCCCGCCAGTGCCCAACAGTCACCTCCATTTCCTTCACAGAGAGGGAGATGCAGCTAGCTTCTCTGGATCTGGCCCATTAAGGTACAAAGGCCCTGTGTTGTTTGGTCGAACCTGGAAAATTAGCCTTAGCTATCTCCATTGGGTTATCATCATCAAATAAGGGCCTTTCATTCTCATTTCATTCTCATTGACTTGGGGTGTTTTTCTGTACGGTATCAGAAGGATGTTAGCTGTTGTGTGCTAATTGCTGTGTTCTATCGCTAGAATGTAGAAATTAGCCTTAGTCATCTCCTTGTTAGGTTTATCATCATATGAGGACCTCTTATTATGAAGGCTGAAGAGCTTTTGAAGAGCTTTTAGTAACTGAATGAAATGCTGCCTCTTAGCTGCTGTTAGAGGAAGAATGTTCTGAAAGGTCTAAACGGGTTAGTGTGAAAAGAGATACCACATATTCAGATGTTCAATAGTCTTTGTTGGGTAAATGAGATGATTCTAGTGTGTTTTTGGTGTCACAGGAGCCTAGCCTAGCGTCTAGCTGGATTACTGTGTCATTGGAGCCAAGAGCTGATAACGGCTAAGCTACATCCTTCTTTACTTATCAGCAACATAGCTACTGGGATTTGGGTTCTGCGAGCAGAGCGATCAGGACAGCCACTTGATATAGCGTCTCAGGCTTTAGGAGGGTATTAAACTGATTAACAGGGTGTCAAATAGCTCTCTACAGCTCTTTATGAAGACTTTAGCATAGCTAGCTACAAGCTAACTCCATGCTAATACATACAGGTGAATAGAGAGTATCAGATCAACATGATAATATGATATTCATTTGAACTGCTAGGGAGCTAACACTTCTTAACACTGTCTTTCACTCTGCTTAGTAGTGTCCTGAGTTTCTTCTGACCACGTGAAACGGTCATATCATGTGTTGAAGGAAAAATACCCACTTCTTTGAAGGAGATCACCAGCAGCAGCACATAACCTCGAGCATATTTCACACCTTCTTCACTTTCTCTGAGATCAAAGGGAGATAATGAAAACCTATTTCTTTGAAGAATTAACATTTTCGTTTTAACTGTAAAACCTTGATGGGGCTAACGGAGGGGTCAGTGTGTGTGTCCATATAAAACCGTTGTAACCTCTCCTCCTCCCGTTGGGATCTGACTGTAGTTGGCTGGGCTGGCAATGCCCAGACTCCTCCGGACAACGTTAAACCAACGTTTTTTGAAATAAAACAGTTGAACTTTGTGTCTATAACAGACGTCCTTTAACCTCACCCTCCCCCTCTCATAAAGGTCATTCAATTTTAATTGTGCTCTTCCCTTGGTCAATTTTAAACTGCTGAATTTTTATTTTTTTTCCCCCCACTTTTATTTAACCAGGTAAGCCAGTTGAGAACAAGTTCTCATTTACAACTGCGACCTGGCCAAGATAAAGCAAAACAGTGCGATAAAAACAACAACACAGAGTTACATATGGAATAAACAAAACGTACAGTCAATAACACAATAGAAAATCTATATACAGTTTGTGCAAAAGTAGTAAGTTATGGAGGTAAGGCAATAAATAGGCCATAGTGCAAAATAATTACAATTTAGTATTAACACTGGAGTGATATATGTGCAGAAGATGATGTGCAAATAGAGATACTGGGGTGCAAATGAGCAAAATAAATAACAATGTAAATAACAATATGGGGATGAGGTAGTTGGGGGGACTAATTACAGATGGGCTGTGTACAGGTGCAGTGATCGGTAAGCTGCTCTGACAACTGATGCTTAAAGTTAGTGAGGGAGATAAGTGTCTCCAGCTTCAGAGATCTTTGCAGTTCGTTCCAGTCATTTGCAGCAGAGAACTGGAAGGAATGGCGGCCAAAGGAGGTGTTGGCTTTGGGGATGACCAGTGAGATATACCTGCTGGAACGCATACTACGGGTGGGTGTTGCTATGGTGACCAATTATCTAAGATAAGGCGGGGATTTGCCTAGAAGTGATTTATAGATGACCTGGAGCCAGTGGGTTTGGCAACGAATATGTAGTGAGGGCTAGCCAACGAGAGCATACAGGTCACAATGGTGGGTAGTATATGGGACTTTGGTGACAAAACGGATGGCACTGTGATAGACTACATCCAATTTGCTGAGTAGAGTGTTGGAAGCTATTTTGTAAATGACATCGCCGAAGTCAAGGATCGGTAGGATAGTCAGTTTTACGAGGGCATGTTTAGCAGCATGAGTGAAGGAGGCTTTGTTGCGAAATAGGGAGCCAATTCTAGATTTAACTTTGGATTGGAGATGCTTAATGTGAGTCTGGAAGGAGAGTTTATGGTCTAACCAGACACCTAGGTATTTGTAGTTGTCCACATATTCTAAGTCAGACCTACCGAGAGTAGTGATTCTAGTCGGGTGGGTGGGTGCAAGCAGCGTTCGATTGAAGAGCATGCATTTAGTTTTAGTAGCGTTTAAGAGCAGTTGGAGGCCACGGAAGGAGTGTTGTATGGCATTGAAGCTCGTTTGGAGGTTTGTTAACACAGTGTCCAGTGAAGGGCCAGATGTAAACAAAATGGTGTCGTCTGCGTAGAGGTGGATCTGAGAGTCACCAGCAGCAAGAGCGACATCATTGATATACACAGAGAATAGAGTCGGCCCGAGAATTGAACCCTGTGGCACCCCCATAGAGACTGCCAGAGGTCCAGACAACAGGCCCTACAATTTGACACATTGAACTCTATCTGAGAAGTAGTTGGTGAACCAGGCGAGGCAGTCATTTGAGAAACCAAGGCTATTTAGTCTGCCAATAAGAATGCGGTGATTGACAGAGTCAAAAGCCTTGGCCAGGTCGATGAAGACGGCTGCACAGTACTGTCCTTTATCGATCGCGGTTATTATATCGTTTAGGACCTTGAGCGTGGCTGAGGTGCACCCACGACAAGCTCGGAAACCAGATTGCATAGCGTAGAAGGTACAGTGGGATTCGAAATGGTCAGTGATCTGTTTGTTAACTTGGCTTTCAAATTTTCGAAAGAAAGGGTCCAGATTGTCTAGCCCAGCTGATTTGTAGGGGTCCAGATTTAGCAGCGCTTTCAGGACATCAGCTATCTAAATTTGTGTGAAGGAGAAGCGGGGGGGGTGCAGAGCTGGTGGCCGGGGTAGGGGTAGCCAGGTGGAAAGCATGGCCAGCCGTAGCAAAATACTTATTGAAATTCTTGATTATCGTAGATTTATCAGTGGTGACAGTGTTTCCTAGCCTCAGTGCAGTGGGTAGCTGGGAGGAGGCGCTATTTTTCTCCATGGACTTTACAGTATCCCAAATCTTTTTGGAGTTAGGGCTACAGGATGGGCAAGTTGCAGCAGAGGGTGCAGAGCTGGTGGCCGGGGTAGGGGTAGCCAGGTGGAAAGCATGGCCAGCCGTAGCAAAATACTTATTGAAATTCTTGATTATCGTAGATTTATCAGTGGTGACAGTGTTTCCTAGCCCCAGTGCAGTGGGTAGCTGGGAGGAGGCGCTATTTTTCTCCATGGACTTTACAGTATCCCAAATCTTTTTGGAGTTAGGGCTACAGGATGCACATTTCTGTTTGAAAAAGCTAGCCTTTGCTTTCCTAACTGATTGTGTATATTGGTTCCTGACTTCCCTGAACAGTTGCATATCGCGGGGGCTGTTCGATGCTAATGCAGTACGCCACAGGATGTTTTTGTGCTGGTCAAGGGCAGTCAAGTCTGGGGTGAACCAGGGGCTATATCTGTTCTTAGTTCTGCATTTTTTGAATGGGGCATGCTTATTTATTCAAAAGCACTTTTGAAGAACATCCAGGCATCCTCTACTGACGGAATGAGGTCAATGTCGCTGAAGTGTTTTAGGGAGCGTTTGACAGTGACCCATTACGGACGCAGGCAATGAGGCAGTGATCTCTGAGATCCTGGTTGAAGACAGCGGAGGTGTATTTAGAGGGTAAATTAGTCAGGATGATATCTATGAGGGTGCCCATGTTTACGGATTTAGGGTTGTACCTGGTAGGTTCCTTGATAATTTGTGTGAGATTGAGGGCATCTAGTTTAGATTGTAGGACGGCCGGGGTGTTAAGCATATCCCAGTTAGATCACCAAACAGTACAAACTCTGAGGATAGATGGGGGGCAAGCAATTCACATATGGTGTCCAGGGCACAACTGGAGGCTGAGGGGGGTCTGTAGCAAGCGGCAACAGTGAGAGACTTATTTCTGGAAAGGTGGATTTTTAGAAGTAGAAGCTCAAACTGTTTGGGCACAGACCTGGATAGTATGATAGAGCTCTGCAGGCTCTGGTACATCTCTACAGTAGGTTGCATCTCCGCCCCCTTTGGCAGTTCTATCTAGACGGAAAATGTTGTAGTTCGGGATGGAAATTTCTGCATTTTTGGTGGCCTTCCTAAGCCAATATTCAGACACTGCTAGAACATCAGGGTTAGCAGAGTGTGCTAACGCGGTGAATAACTCAAACTTGGGGAGGAGGCTTCTGATGTTAACATGCAAGAAACCAAGGCTTTTACGGTTACAGAAGTCAACAAATGATAGCACCTGGGGGGTAGGAGTGATACTGGGGGCTACAGGGCTTGGGTTAACATCTACATCACCAGAGGAACAGAGGAGGAATGGAATAAGGATACGGCTAAAGGCTTTAAGAACTGGTCTTTTAGTGCGTTGGGTACAGAGAATAAAAGGGGCAGATTTCCGGGCGTTGTAGAATAGATTCAGGGCATTATGTAAAGACAAGGATATGGAAGGATATGAGTACAGTGGAGGTACACCTAAGCTGTCACGCCCTGGCTCTGGGGACTCTTATATGTTGAGCCAGGGTGTGGAGTTTCTATGTGTTATTTTCTATGTTGTGTTCTAGTTCGTGTTTTCTATGTTGGCCAGGGTGGTTCCCAATCAGAGGCAGCTGATTCTCGTTGTCTCTGATTGGGACCCGTACTTAGGCAGCCTTTTGGCACTAGTTTATTGTGGGATCTTGTTCCGGAAGGTTTGTGTATTTAACCTAGGTCTTCACGTATCGTTTATTGTTTTGGGTCGTTGTGTGTACACTAATAAAAGTATGTACGCCTATCACGCTGCGCCTTGGTCCGCTTCATCATCCTGTAACGATCGTGACAGAAGCATTGGGTAACTATGAAAGAGATAGCATCACTGGAGGTACCGATTGAGCCGGTCTCCGCGTGTATGTGGGGTGGGACAAAGGAGCTCTCTGAGGCTGGTTGAGCGGGACTGGGGGTTCTACAGTGAAATTGTATAATAAGAACTAACCCAAATAGCAATAGGCTAGGCATATTGACATGGGAGAGAGCCATAACGCAATCACAGGTGTTATTCGAGAGGGCTAAGACAACAACTGGTAATGGCGACAAAAGTTTGGGCTGAGGCTAAACAGATAAACAGGATGGGGTACCGTGTAAAGGAACAGTCCAGCAGGCATTAGCTGTGTAGCTGAGTGATCATAAGGTCCAGTGAACAGCAATAAGTAAGTCCGGGAGCAGTTCGTAGGCTGCTAAAGCACAGGCAAGCAGGAGGCACGCTGTTGATTGCGCGTGCTAGCGGGCCGGGGCTAGCAGATGGATCTTCGTGGTCGTCACAACGGGAAGCCTGCTGAAACCACATCAGACGATTACGTCTGATTGCTACATTGCTCACTATGTCCAATCTCTACCGTCCACCTTCCATGAGGGAGGGAGGGAGGAAGGGAGGGCAGTGAAAAGCTATTTATGTGAGGTTAGATGCCAGAGGGGCAGATCCTAAGATGCCTTTTCAAAATCTGATTGTGAATAATAAGCCACTTTCCATGTCGACATTCATTGCACCTTACTGTAGCATTGTGTATAACAGAGGCCATTTCCCACTGACCACACAGTGGGGGAAAACACATTTGGCCAATGTTACACAGCTTTCTGCATCCATTTCAAATGGGCTACAGTACTGTTGAAGTGCCATTACAGTACTTCTGATAATTTGACACAGGCCAGCCCTGGAATAGAAGGGTGGGAACAATGCAAGAAATACTGTGCCATTTTATACAATATAAATACTATTTTGCCAAAAATAATTAATGTGATATGAACTTGTTTAGATTAACTGTCAACATAATATGATGATATTATTTCACTCAGAAAACATTTCAAAACAAAAAGACACACTCACACAAACAAAAATAGAGCCAACTGTATCTATCATACACACAGACACACTGCACCAGTGACATCACATTTTCAAAAACACGTAAGGAAATGAAATGCTTTTACTCTTAACACTGTACCGAAATAACTGAAATCACCTATTGAAAACCACTCTGGTACAGTAGAAGGGCCAGTACTGACTCCACTCAGTTCGAGTAACATGGTAAAAGCAGGTCAAACATGTCATATACCTGTATAAGACCTTACTTTAATGTACCAGTACTCTAACTTCATCATGCACTCAGAACATGGGGCTCTCACATTTCCATTCGGATGAAAATCAGAGAATAAAGAAAACATTGAAAGAAGAAGGGCAGCCATCAACCTTGCCATCATCAGCCAATCATTTTGAACCCTGGCGAGGAAGGCAGGGTCAAGGGCTAGAGATGGAGCTAGTCAGAAAGAGGGAACATATTTCTGTTGGCTACATGGCTGGGTCACGAGGGGGCTGACCATTAAAGTGCCTGAGTGCAACCTGTAATAGGGCATTAGCGGGGGCTTTTGATCTGAAACCGAGGGCTTCAAAGCCATTCATTTTACCCTCTTGATCATTTCTGTCAGAATGCCTTTGTTATAAAAAAAAACTCTGTGTCAGAGAGAAAAACCCAATGATAGAGTGAGTTGGTAGGTCTCCACTGTGGGCATGTTCATGGAGGCTCTTAAGATGTTTTAATTATCACTCCCCCGCAACAGAAAGGGGGCTGTCACCGGGTTGTTACTCACAGCAGGACCAGGCTGGCTGGCTAGCCTCAGTCTCACTGTACAGTCAGCTAAAATGAGACACAAAAAAATCAAATAAAGCTTTCTGTGTAGTGGTTTGGTGTGTGTGTGTGTGTACTGTACTCTACTGTCTTACCCAGGAATGATATAGGTCATTGTCCCAGGGGTTGGGGACAAAAACAGAACATTTGACACCAGCAGCGATGGCTGTCTCTCTCACGCCTCCCACCCTAAGTCAGAACTGTTGACAGTGTTAAAATAGTTGCCTGCTTTCTGGTCTCCTCTTTCCCCATCTTCTACCATGGCAAGACGACAACGCTGGCAGTGCCAGCCGGGGCCGCCAACCCACTGGCTTTGACACCTAATTAGACTTTAAAGAGCCCTTTAATAGGTTTATAAAGGGATTCCAAAATCATTGTGAATCAAAAACATCCTCCATCAAACAAACAATCTATTGTGTGGTTCTAATCAGTGGCAGTATATTCAAATCAAAGGCTTAATTAAATTGTTTTGATTCACTATCGACAGAGTGGCATGTGGCTGAGACCGACACTGATCAATAGATTGAACACACTCAAAGGTTCAGAGCTTCTGAATGAGGGGTAACATTGTCATAAATTAACCTCTTGATAGACATGTAGAAAGACAATGGTATTGCTGCTGTCAGAAAGTACAGCTAATGCTGCCGTGGCAGAAGTATAAAATAGCATTAGGGTTCGGCTGAGGCATCTGCAAGCTCAACCAGACACGATTTGCATCACCACCCAATTCGATTACCTCTCAGCACAGCATCTTGTTGGGAGATATTCTGTTTCTGTTGGGGTGTGGAAACGGACAGACTGGCATTCAGCAGCATTTCAGAATTTCCATTCAGTGAGTGTATAAATGTAAAACAATGTGCCTTTTCCCTCGTTCAAGCCAAAAACCCATCCCCAAGTTTCAGGCACTACGCCTCTCAGCTGCTTGACATGGGTGAGCTACTGAGCTTCACTTGACAATGAAATCGGTAAGGATGGTAAAGGGGGCAATTAACTGTTTGTCATGTCATTTATGTTTGAAGGCCTTTAGAGTGTTGAATTAAATCAAACTGGACTTGCCATAATTTCTGTGGTGGTTTGGAGTGGGATTTACACCACTTATAAAACAGAGTGGTGAATATAAAACAGACCAAACTACTTCAGAGGTTTAGCAAAGCTAACAAGAGAGAACCGCTCTTGACTAGAAAAATGCTAAATAATTTGAATAGTCATCATAAAGTGATTGAGAGCTTGTGATGACCAAATAATGAATACCTCTATTGAATTAGATGACTAAGTTCTAAATCAATGGCAGAAAAAGCTAGCACAAAGCAGCGCCATGATAATGCAGGATAAAGAACCCGAATCATAGAGAGCAATAGAACTTTGATTAGTTAGGGACAAAGGCCTTCCGATTCGGAATTAAAGAGTAAGAAGACAAAGGAGATTTCCCAGGAGCTCTGTGAGAGAGCCAGAGAGTAAGAGAGAGAGAGAGAGAGAGAGAGAGAGGGAGCCATTTGTACGTTATCAATTCGGATAAAATTAAGATGCCTGTACATTTTGGCGTGATTAAATTCGGACAAATTGTCCAACCTCCTGCGCCTGTGCTCGACATACAGTTCATTAAACAACGCTCTCTCGGAGCCGCCAGCCAGCCAGCTCCATCCACCACAAATAATAAGCGTTACGCATGACAGAGGGACCACACGTTAGGTGGCCCCGTAATCACACACATGACACGTCCGCGCATATCTACACACCACAGGCCTAACACAGCCAGATGAATCCATGGGCATGTGAATTGCTCTGTCTACAAGTGATAATTCTTATTATAAGTGTCTTATAATCCTGTAATGGTATCTCATTACATTCAAAAACACATTTCAGCCCCCCAGTCCGACCTCGATGTTGAGTAACGACACAGACAGACTGCCACTCCCTGTTAGCCTACACAGTAGCACGCACACACATTGTATGAGGATCAAGGCGCTCTGACAAAATACAATGAATATTCCCAATTACATGCACTAGTTCCCACTATCTGTTCAGCTAGTCATTTGCAGACAAGTGTTCAGACGTCAAGGCAGTCTGTTACTCTGAATGTCCCTTGGATATAACCCCAAATAACACTTGGATTTAACAAACAGACTTACAGATGTAGGATTTTAATTTGAGAGTTTGCTACAACAGGAAAATAATGATACATTTTTCCTAAGGGAAAATCCAATCTGAAATTTCAAAGTGGAAATTACAAACTTCAGAAGCCTTTTTAAACCTCAAATACACTACACATTTTACATTTCCTCCACTGCAGACAAGTTCTCATGCTTGTCTGATCAAATTAAGATCCCACAGGCAATATAACAAAACCAATCAATACTATGTTGGGTGCTGTTCTATGTCATAAATGAGATTCCACCAAAACCTAACTTGTCCATAGTAAGGGAAAATAAAAATAACATGCTTAATGTCTTTAGAGTGGTGCATTTATTGCCTGACGACATACTGAATTTAATTCCGCTGCTCTACTTATCGCTACATACAGTCAGTCTGAGACTGTCATCGTAGAAGTTGTTTCTGCTGACGTCATAGTGAGGGGCGTTGTACAAAGTCATCAGCGAATGGATGGTTTCTAACCAATCAGAGTATAAAACCCAATTACTATTTCCAAAACGCTGCTTTACCCATTGGTTTCTGGGACCAATCAGAACGGTTTGAATGTGTTCACATTCAAGAAGTCGCTGGGGAGGAGATCAAATCCAGACTCATCGTGCAGAAGAAACGTAAGTGGCCGTGGTGTTTGGCCAGAGCGATGTGGATTTATAGCCAGGCAAGTGCATTTAGGCTACCTTTAACAATGTGCTCAAGAAAGAAAACAGAGAAAAATACAACAATGAACAGGACATTAGAACAGTCTCAATTATGTCACGACGCATAAAGAACAGTTGTGTGCTGCACAGTGAAATGAAATTACGTTGAACAAACATTGAATAGACGTTGAATTGACCAGAATAAGATAACTAATAGTCTTCATAGTGTGCTCCTCTCTCTCTCTCTCTCTCTCTCTCTCGAAGAGAAAATGATTGATTTACTAAGGCTAAGGAAAACACACTCAGATAAGCGCACACTTGGTGGAACGTAAATTAAGTTGTCTAGCATTACTGTTAACGGCAATTGTATAGGCCTAATCAGTATACCACAGATGGACATCCAAGTTGTTCTCCCACATAAACCCACGTCTTCTGAGGGGCCTGCCAGAAAAACGAAAACCTGCTTAGTTAAAGAGGGGGGGAAAAGTCCTCAAAACAATGACACTAGCGAAAGAGAGAAAGAGGCAGAGGGTTCTTCAAAGAAAAACGCAGGAGGATTAGTGCAGCTGCCAATACAGAGGGTAGGCTGGGTGTGCATTCACCAGCCATCACACATTTGAATCAATAGGTGTCAAATGCCGCTTGAAACACAATTAGTGTGCCGCTAAAGAAAAATAAGGAAAAATACACACAGGGAAGATTAAAGGATGTGCACAATGTTCCTCTCAAAAGCTTTAAAATTCAACACCTATACAGGCTTTTCAGACACATGACAGCTTGTTATGCGCCTGCTCAAGTTGAAGAAAGCAGAGGAGAGCAGAGCAGGGAGGAAAGCAAAGCATGCATCTGTATGAATATACAAACACCTTCTCAATGTGTCTGTCGACTCAACTGAGCCCTTTGTGCTGCTGTGTGGGTTTCCTAAAGATATCAAGCTACAACAACTAGGATACATAACACACCATAACAGACATGGCATCTCATCTCACTACTAACCTACCTCGACCTGCTAGATTCTAGATTCCACTCCCCCATCCCCCTTCATCCACCACACAAACTTAGTGGCTCAAAAGAGATCAACCAACTGAGTGTAATGAAATTGAGAGGGGGGAGGCGGGGAAGTAGGGGATGTGAGACTGGAGGGGATGGAGTATGGGGGGTAGCGGGATCATCCATCTGTGCAAGCAATAATGTCTGTATCTGCAGGCTGGTTGAATCACACTTTGAAATGGATGGCACAGACTTCTGTAATAGCACTGATGGTCGGACGCCTCACTGTTAAAGTAAATAAACAAAGAAATCCTGCATATACAGTATACAGGAATCTATTTGAGATATCCTGTACACGGTGTTATGTGCAGACGGTGATGTACAGTATGTATGGAAAGCTATAACAGTATTCCCTGTTAGCCTAGCGGTTAAGAGTGTTGGGCCAGTAACTGAAAGGTTGCTGATTCTAATCCCTGAGCCTACTAGGTGAAACATCTGTTGATGTGCCCTTGAGCAAGGCACTTAACCCTAATTGCTCCTGTAAGTCACTCTGGATAAGAGCATCTGCTAAATGACAAAAATGTAAATTACAAGAGGATGGAAAAAACACTGCAGGTCAGTGGAAATTAAACATGAGGTTATCTCATGTACAGACCGGAGGAGGTGGTTATCGATCTTTGTTGTTGTCATCTCTCTCTCCCATAAAACCTCTGAAGCGCACATGTAGCATCAATTTGCGAGAGACGACGGCATCACATCTTTCCATTAAGGCCTGTTTCTCACTTTCATATGCATTACTTCCTTTTTCCTTGGCAGCAGAAACATCTCCAACCTACAAATTGACGTACCGTAATGTTGCAGAGTGAGTCTCGGCTTAACCTAACACAGCACCAGACACTGGTCATTTAGGATGCACAAACAATCATTTAGATCCTTTCTAAAGGGCTCTTATCAAACCAAATGTGAAGTAGGTGATATGTTACCCCTTTTCAAAGATACTTGTTTGAAAATAAAATGTGTCATACATATAAGAATGTCATACATATTTGTATATGCCACAGATGTGTGTATGTATAAGATTGCCCTGATTGTATTGGAGAGCACATTATAGCTTTAATAACAAGGATGGATATGATAAACCATGCTTTTACATATTGCTATGATGGTGTGAGTATAGATGCATTGCTACATTTGGGTATACATGTATGGCTACAGCGGCATGTGACTAGCCTGCAGGTATTGGCTGCAGTATGTAAATCGGTTCAGATGGCTCAGTCATGTTGTAGGGGGATATGTATTTCAGTATGTATGGCTGTATGGCTGCATTAGACTTATATGGTGACACTGGTTGGAGAATATGTATATCTCCATATATTTGGGAATGGCTGTATGGTTGGTTTTCTGATTGGCTCAGTCATAGACCTAATAGTGACACCGGCAGTAGAATATGCATATCTATCCATATGTATTGGTATGTTTGTATAGCTGTATGTCTGTCGGGCTCTGTTCCACATGGAGAGAGAGTCCTTTTAGCCCGGTTTAATCAGCTGAACTGAGCGGGTTCAGCACAGGATATATAGGCCTACAGCTGTGCTTTATTACAGACACAATGAAGACCAGATTAGGGGATCTGGGAGGGGGAGAACGGTGGAGAACGGGGGGAGGGGGGAAGACTCAAAACACATCTGTCCTCGGTTTGTCTCGGGCTCCAACACCAAACCGCAAGCATGACCGTGTACAAATCTGTCTCCACTTGGAGAGACACGGCAAGCAGGCAAGTCTGTGAAAACGTTTTCAGACCTTGGATTGGTTTTTACACTGACTGGGGCTCCTGGGAACAGTCTGTTGCCTGGCTGTTGATAGCAAGTTAGAGCTAGCCCCGGGAGAAAGGAGTCACGATGACATCCGCACGCTGCGTGGAGCCATGTGGTGCTGCAAACAAGTCATCATGTTCTAACTAATCAAAACGGTGATGTATGTATATGCACGGCTATGCACAAGCACTAAATATTCACGATAAGTCCTAGAGAGAATACCACTGATGCCTCTCTGATTATGACCTTAATGGAAAACAGGTTATTTATAATGACGAAAAAACTGCTGTCTCAATGTTGTGTTTTCTGTACTGACTGGGTCTTTTGTTGTGAATAAAGTCGCAATGGCATACCGTAGATCTGACGTTTGTTGATAACAACATCTGAAAATATTCTGGATACATTCAGTAACATGATAAGACTATTCCTGGAAAATGTGGGGTAGGTGCAACATAAGACAACAACATTTTGAGTGCGAGGACAAACTGGTGTTTCCAAATGGCCACACACCTCTCCAAAGTGTGCACAGTTCCTAAGCAATTTTAATGCACTTTTATGACGCAAAAAAAGAGTTTTCAACTATAAGTAACTTTTTTGAGCTCTCCTAGCTGTGCTGTTGAAGAACTAGAGCGAGCACACTTGTAGTTGTCTAGTTTGGAACACAACCCTGCATCCCCGCCATCACACAATTACTACTTTTCTTTACGCAATCCAAAAACGGTCCATTATAAAACGCAATCTGGGTCAGCTGGGCATGATTTGAAAGATTGTTCTTTTGCCAACATGATTAGATAAGTTATAAAATATGATCTTACAGTGTTATTAGGCTTTTACAAGAACATTCTGGGAAACAGATCGTAATTTCGGTGTGCATAGTCATGAGTGGATTCAGGTGTGTGTGCCACGGCAAACGTTCTTCACAACAATAAACAAACATAGGCTCATTCTGTTCAGAACAACCCAGGGTATGACGACATGCCATCCTATAACTGTACATCAAACAAAGCAGTATTTATTATAATCCTCAACATCTCATCTTTCAAAATCCATACAGTCATCTTAATTGACAGCATTTTCCTCACTCAGACAACAAAAAATGTGCAAAAGTTGCCCAATTACCGGGAGGGATGGGGGCAACTACTTGTTGTGCAGCGATGCTCAAGTTCAGAACAGCTGTCAGTCAAAACCCATACAGCGATGTGAAGCACAGAGCCAAAGCTCTGACGTCATGTATAGTATGTTACTGTACAGCCACTACGTTCCAATTTAGGCGCTTATTAGTATGAGTGTAAAGGGCTACGTATAATTTAACACGATAATTGTTCGGTAATTAGACAATGCTTTTAGAGCAGGCATGGCGATGCATTTTACCCAGCTGTTAAGTGGGTTGTAGAGCTTCAGGAGTGCAAGCAAGCACAAAGCCTCCACCTGAGTCACTCTGAAGACTAAAGACCCTGAGAGAGTGAGAGAGAGAGTGAGAGAGAGAGAGGCTAGCCTCATCATCCTTCCATCCTGCCTTACCAGTCCCTACCTCTATGGCAAACAGACAGACTGGGGTTTACAGCGTGTCATGGGCACCGTGGAAAAGAGCTTGATCAGGAAGACATCCCACTGCCATTAGAGCTCCTCTGTCTATGTTTACCGAGTGGCCCTTTCTTTGCACTTTGAACAACACACGATGAGTGATTAAACAACAAACCACATGGTCTGTCGTAGACTAATCCACTGGCCAGTTCCTTATGTTGTAGTCCTTTGTCCTGTTGAGATTTCTTTCCACAGGAGGTGGAGGCAGGTCCAGACAGAAAGATGCTACTGCGAGACATGATGCAGAATACATTATATGACTAATCTCATTTGCCACAATGTTGATAGTGATATTTGTTTATATAATTTAAGGAAGAGTGATACTAGATAGGCTTTTAGTGTTGTTGTATTGTGGGAAGACACTTGAATGAAATACGCTTGCACTAGCAAGTATATCCTAGCCTTGGATGTGATACTTTAAATCCTGGTTGCTACTGAGTATGCTGTTCTCATTTTTGGGGTAAGACTCAAGGCGGGGAAATCAAAACTTGGCAACGGCTGGCCCTCTAGCTATAACATAGACTGACTTGGTACAATACTGCTGCCACTTTGCCTCCAGGTTGGAAAAAGTTGGAGGATTAAACTGTGGCAGGTGGCATCCCATTTTCTTCAACAGTCCCCTCTCAGGCCTCCAGGTACAAGAAGAGCAATTCTGGAGACTGGGATTGAACCTATTCTTCTGAACATGTTCAAAATGATGGCGCCAGAGGGGATGGCTGCCGTTTTATGGACTCTTAACCAACTGTGGTATTTTGTGTGTTTTTTCGCATTGTTTGTAACTTATTTTATACATAACTTTGCTGCTACCGTCTCTTATGACCGAAAATAGCTTCTGGACATCAGAACAGCGATTTCTCACCTTGAACTGGACAAATAATTTTTATTTAATGAGTCGGACGAGAGGGATTTGCTCCAGACACCCGACAGGGCCCTCATCCCTGTCATTCGCAGTAGAAAGAAAAGGAGATATCGCGGAAGGAGATCGGGGTGCTTGGTAAGGAGCCGGCGACGAGTGGCTAATCTGCCTTTGCCATCGATACTATTGGCCAACATACAATTGCTTGATAATAAAGTGGATGAACTACAGGCACGTATATCCTACCAACGGGACATTAAATATTGTAATATCTTATGTTTCACCGAGTCGTGGCTGAACGAAGACATGAATAACATACAGCTGGTGGGTTATACACCGTATCGGCAGGATAGAACAGCAGCTTCTGGTAAGACAAGGGGTGGCGGTCTATGTATATTTGTAAACAACAGCTGGTAAGCTGTAGACCACACTATCTACCAAGAGAGTTTTCATCTATATTCTTCATAGATGTCTATTTACCACCACAAACTGATGCTGGCACTAAGACCGCACTCAATGAACTGTATACGGCCATAAGCAAACAGGAAAAAACTCATCCAGAGGCGGCGCTCCTAGTGGCCGGGGACTTTAATGCAGGGAAACTTAAATCCGTTTTACCTCATTTCTACCAGCATGTTAAATGTGCAACCAGAGAAAAAAAAAACTCTAGACTACCTTTACTCCACACACAGAGACGCGTACAAAGCTCTCCCTCGCCCTCCATTTGGCAAATCGGACCATAATTCTATCCTCCTGATTCCTGCTTACATGCAAATACTAAAGCAGGACGCACCAGTGACTCGCTCAATAAAAAAGTGGTCAGATGAAGCAGATGCTAAGCTACAGGACTGTTTTGCTACCACAGACTGGAATATGTTCCGGGATTCTTCCGATGGCATTGAGGAGAACACCACATCAGTCACTGGCTTCATCAATAAGTGCATCGATGACGTCGTCCCCTCAGTGACTGTACGTACATACCCCAACCAGAAGCCATGGATTACAGGCAACAGCCACACTGAGCTAAAGGGTAGAGCTGCCGCTTTCATGGAGTGGGACTCTAACCCGGAAGCTTATAGGAAATCCCGCTATGCCCTCCGACTAACCATCAAACAGGCAAAGCTTCAATACAGGACTAAGATCGAATCGTACTACACCGGCTCCAACGCTTGTCAGATGTGGCAGGGCTTTTACAGACTACAAGGGGAAGCTCAGCCGCGAGCTGCCCAGTGACACGAGCCTACCAGACAAGCTAAATTACTTCGAGGCAAGTAACACTGAAACATGCATGAGAGCATCAGCTGTTCCGGACGACTGTGTGATCACGCTCTCCGTAGCTGATGTGAGTAAGACCTTTGAACAGGTCAACATTCACAAGGCCGCAGGAACAGATGGATTACCAGGACATGTACTCCGAGCATGCGCTGACCAACTGGCAAGTTTCTTCACTGACATTTTCAACCTCTCCCTGTCTGAGTCTGTAATACCAACATGTTTCAAGCAGACCACCATAGTCCCTGTGCCCAAGAACACTAAGGTAACCTGCCTAAATGTCTGTGGCCATGAAGTGCTTTGAAAGTCATGGCTCACATCAACACCATTATCCCAGAAACCCTAGACCCACTCCAATTCGCATACCACCCCAACAGATCCACAGATGATTCAATCTCTATTGCGCTCCACACTGCCCTTTCCTACCTGGACAAGAGGAACACCTATTTGAGAATGCTATTCATTGACTACAGCTCAGCGTTCAACACCATAGTGCCTTCAAAGCTCATCACTAAGCTAAGGACCCTGGGACTAAACACCTCCCTCTGCAACTGGATCCTGGACTTCCTGACGGGCTGCCCGGTAGTGCGTATGGCCCAGTACATCACTGGGGCCAAGCTTCCTGCTATCCATGACCTCTATACCAGGCGGTGTCAGAGGAAGGCCCTAAAAATTGTCAAAGACTCCAGCCACCCTAGTCATAGACTGTTCTCTCTGCTACCACACGGCAAGGTCCAAGAGGCTTCTAAACAGCTTCTACCCCCAAGCCATAAGAGTCCTGAACATCTAGTCAAATAGCTACCCAGACTATTTGCATTACCCCCCCCCCCCCCCCCCCCCCCCTTTACGCTGTTGCTACTCTCTGTTTATTATCTATGCATAGTCACTTTAATAACTCTACCTACATGTACATTTACCCCAATTACCTCGACTAACCGGTGCCCCCGCACATTAACTCGGTACCAGTACCCCCTGTATATAGCCTCGCTATTGTTATTTTTACTGCTGCTCTTTAATTATTTGTTAGTTTTATTTCGTATTATTTTATATTATATTATTGTGTATGATTTTTTGGGGTATTCTTTCTTAAAACTGCATTGTTGGTTAAGGGCTTGTAAGTAAGCGTTTCACTGTAAGGTCTACACCTGTTTTATTTGGCGCATGTGACAAATACAATTTGATTTGATTTGATTTGATGTGAATAGCAGCCGACCAGGAGCCTAGACTGTGGCTAGTCCTGTTAGCCTGATTACTGATCAGGGCCTCTTCAGAGGCAGGCTCAGGGCTCCAGGGCAGGTCTGTCTTATAGTTATCCACAGGCCTCTGACTCTCGTCAGGGGAACTACTTGAGCTTGTGCATTTCACTAGTCTTTATTGGATGATAGAACTCTTGCTGTGCATGCTAAAAGTCATCTTGTTTTCGTGTGTGTTTTCTGTTTTTGTTCTCATTTCTATTCCTCAACATAATGCATGATGTTATGTAAGGGAAATTATTCCCTCTGTTTTCTCTGTTCTCTAGGAGCAGCTCGCTCGGACAGATACTGAAAAATGCATAGCCCTCCATGGTTGTTAATGGGGTAGTAAAACTAACTTTAATATCCCAGTGTGTTAGAATCTTCAGTGGTAAGGCCTGGAAGCCCTGGGAGGCAGTAATTCACCATCCACACACAGCTAGTCACGGCCACACCACACTGTATTTCTCACATTATACAGCTATTGAGAAGGTGTTGGGCTTCTCCTAAACAGACCTAGCTCCAATAAACAAGCCATACAGCAGAAACTTTTACAGTTTTACCAATTCTATGATGTCAGCATTGTGCCTCTAGAAAACCCTCTAAACGTTGTAACACTGTCTGCCTCGCTATCTCAAATCGTTCCGCGGGAAAATATGACATTGATCATTTGTGAAAGTCGACCTGGCATCAGCAGGCAATGGCATCGAGTCTTCATCACTACCAACACTGTGGCTTCAGTATTTGAACAGAGCATTTGCGTGGCACATACACGTGATGGCAGGTCAGACTAGAAAACAATCCAAGCCTGGTCTGTTGATGTTATGCTGCTGCCCTCTAAACCCTCAAAACAGATGGTTGGAATCATGTTGTTTCCAAAGCCATGCAGTTTTTGGGAGATGAGAAATGGGCCTCAACATATGAGCAAAAAAAATAAACGCTAAACCATTAAATGAATTGAATAACATATCTGATCATGGGCTCTGGAAATATTGAATTATTGACCTAGTTATTGACTTGTGTGGCCTCTGTTGAAAAAACAGATGGAGACAGAGGTTGGAAAAAAATCGAACATGTACAGCGATTGCAGCAGCAAGCCACTGAATAATCCATCAGCTGTATTATTTTATATTTATTTCCCCTTCAGTTGCCTTCCAGCAGATGTCAGAGTGATTTGTGGAAATGAGGCCCATGACAACTGCAACAGCACTGTGTTTTTAAAATCACACTACAGTACGAATCCACGCTGAGCAATTGAAATAAATAGGAACGCTATGATTTTTCACCTCACTTCAAAAGATTGTTGTGCGTGAAAGAAAGTGGTCAAGCTATAACACTTGCACAGAACATTTGACAATTGCTTGTCATTTGTCAGAAATATAGTGCCATTGTCCTGCCAAACACGTGTGTAATGTGATACAATTCCAGGAACTAAAAACTGGAATACACAGACACCAATCGTCAACAACAACAACAAAAACATTTAAGTCTAACTTTTTTTAAGTCACATTGTGCTTTCTCTCTGTATACCTCCATTTAAACTCCCCTATTGACCTGTTCAGAGCCAACCACATGAAAGCAAAATGAAAGAGGGAAGAGAGAAAAACACAAAAGACAACAGTGAATACAGAAAGTCCACCTGTGCTTCTCTTATAACTTCCATTAGTGATGTGTCAAAAAGCACCAGCAGGACTTACAATGGAGGCTGGTGGAAGGAGGTATAGGAGGACAGGCTCATTGTAATAGCTGGAATGGAATCAATGGAACAGAGTCAATATTGTTGTTTCTATATGTTTAATGTCTTTAATACCGTTCCATTTATTCCCTTCCATGAAAGTCTGTGTGACCATTGCACTCAGAACAGGTGCGTCGACCAGCTACACAATTTTTGAATGTATTCCATTCCAGCCATTAAAATGAGCCCGTCCTCCTATAGCTCCTTAATTTACATCATTTACATTTACGTCCAGACTCCTCTGCAGGACTAGCACCCAAATATTTATTACATACCAAGGGAGGGGCAAAACATGTTTTTTAGGCTCTGGTTAGAGATGGCAAGGGATAACCTAGTAAATTAATGTTAACTTGGAGCCTCCAGGCTCCCCTCCCAAACTCTGTCATTGTCCCCACTACATAAAGGATGGGGGACTTGTAACAGAATTTGGGCCAACGTGGTTCCGAAGTATTAGGTTTCTCAGAAGAGACTACTAAAACCACTAGAACCGGTAATGGTCACTGCGAGCAAGAAAGAGAGACTCTGGGAAAGGGCGATGTCCGTGAACCTCGAAACCACGTTGGCCCAAATTCTGTTACAAGTTCCCCATCCTTTATGTAGTGGGGACAATGACAGAGTTTGGGAGGGGAGCCTGGAGGCCCGGTGAGGGATCTCTAGTTACCCTCTCTACTCTACCAAAACCAGGCAGCACGGTGGGGTTGGTGGGCTAGTTCAGTTACATGACAACCAGTTTAGCCTGGTGGTGTCTTTCTCCAGGAAACAACATGCTGTTTAGATGCCTCAGGGCACGGAAATGTTAATGCGTAACACACACTAACACAAGCAAACACAGATGGAGCAGATCTCACACACAAACACACACTCACACACACATAAAAAAAATAAAAAAATCATCCCTCTCCTTTGTGCTCTCATTTACATAATGTGGGAGTGAGAGGGCAAATGTCATCCCCATCACAAACCAATCCCTTTGAGACGACTCACAATGGGCAGTAGCTGAAGGCCTTCAGCATAGCCGGCAGGGGAGAGTAGCTCCTACCGCGCTGTGTTCCCTCCCTCCCCACCCACCACTGCGATATCACTGTGTTCCCCTTTCGAAAAGTATCTGCGAGCCAGCACTGTAACCTGAAGCAGTCTTTTGGATATCGGTTTTCAAGTAAAAGAGAGCAGTGTTTCCCCTAGGATTTTTTTCAGCAGCGGTGGCAAAGTTAGCGTGTGGGGGGGGGGGGGGGGGGGGGTAGTGGGTGTGGCCAAGGGCGCTGTCTCCGACCGAAATTATAGAGGCCCTCCTCTTGGGCCAGAGACAAAACTTAGCTGTTCTAAAGCGAATTTTCAGCAATTCTACACATTTTGCAATGGGGTGAGAGAAAATGTTGCAGTTTTAAAGCTAATTTCCTGCAATTGTACACATTTTGCCATGGCTTATGCCTTGTTCTTCTGTTATCTGAGTAACTCAAAAATCAATGGGGGCCCCATGCCATGACATTTGGGGAATTTTAGATTCTCCCTGACTGTCTAGTTTTTATTTTGATGATTGTTAGTTCTCAAAGATGATCTTATACTCCATTATATTTTCTACATACTTTTGATCTAGTTTAGTCATTTAAGTTTACACTGAAAACGTTTTACTGCTAAATGAATAAAGGGTAAACAATGGAGAGGGATGGAGAGAAAGAGAGGGAGGCATAGAGGGAACGAGAGTGCAGAGACACACAAACTGCCTCTTAAAAAACTAAAGAGAGGAAGAAAGGGGTAAAAAGAGCAAAAGCTTTGCACTGTTCATAGCTGTAAAGTAACATCCCGGTGAAATACAAAGGGAAAAACCATGGGGCCGTATTCAGATGTCTCTTTAAAAGAGACTCATCTGCCAGATACAGAGCCCTCCACTGTGATCTCTACTGCCTGGCCAAGGAGCAGTTCCACCACAAAGCGCCAAAAACCCTCCAAAACAGACCCTCCAAAACAGCCGCAGCCAAAGAAGAGCCATAAGATTCTACTAAAGTACTGGAAACAATGGAGTTTAAAGAGAGAGAGAGAGAGCGTGTGTGTGTGTGTGTGTGTGTGTGTGTGTGTGTGTGTGTGTGTGTGTGTGTGTGTGTGTGTGTGTGTGTGTGTGTGTGTGTGTGTGTGTGTGTGTGTGTGTGTGTGTGTGTGTGTGTGTGTGTGTGTGTGTGTGTGTGTGTGTGCCGTAACCAAAGGCAACAGAGTGGAGAGTAGATTGGACACCTTATCCAAACACCATTTTAATTATAAATGTATCTGGATGTTTGGTTTATGCAAAGTTCACTTAACACCAGTAGGAGGAGAACAACATTAAACCAATCATTAAATCAGATTTGTTCTTTCTTGAAATCTTGAAATCAGTTGTTGTTTTTTCCAGTTTGGTACTTAGGTCTCAAAGAAGAGGACCATTGTGCCGGAAGCCCTAATGATTAAGTATGTAGGCTTCTGTCATTCAACGGAATGGAATATTAGCAACAGAGGATATCTTAAAGCGTCTGCAGCTGGGATGCTGGTGGATATTGTATTGCATTCTGGGTGGGCGCCAAGGCGGGGTGTGTGTGTGTGTACAGTATGTGCATGTGTGTGTGGGGGGGAGGAAATGGCAGCTGCGGCGATGCCGGGATACCAGGAGGAACCTGGACAACTAACATTTGCATTTCTGCCTCACTTGAATCCACATTAGGAGGTCATCACCATTCCCCCGGCCCACAGCCCAACACAACAGTTGTGTGTGGAGTTAAGGACTAGATAAACAAGAGATAGAGTGAGGGGTGCTTGTGGCTGCTGCCACGCCTTGGCTATGTGACACCTAAATCAATATATTTTTTAAAGGAAATTTTGTCTTGGACTAGGTTAGTTGAATATAAAAACCAAGGCCATATTTGGTTTCATTGAATGGGGAAGGAAAGAATGAGGGCAAAGCATACAAAGTGGTAATGTGAGAAACCCCAATGGCGCCATAAATCAATCACAATGGTATGACCAACAGGGCCATATGATATTACACCAAATACTGGAATCCTTAATGTTTGTCCTTGCATATGTTCCATTCAATCATCCAGGGGGAGACATAGGTGGAGAAACTGTTTGAAGCAGACCAGTGGGAGCAGTCCAGTTCAGTTTCAGATCAATGTTGCTGTACATATGGCATACACTGTAACCGGAGGGGGCCGGCGCCCACGTGTTAGATTTAAACAGGCTAGAACAGCTGGTGCTGAGAGCTATGACCAAATCACAGTGGAGAATCTTGGGGATATCAGACAGTTTTTACGACTGTGGGCAAACTGTTGGAGCTTGGAGCTCCTCCTGGTCAGATCATTAAAGGGGTCTTTATGGGGTCCGCCAGTCCAGCCCCACTTAATGAGGGACAGTGTCCAGCCCACGTCCCCCTCTTTACTGCCACAGCCTCCCCCCTCACTGACGGCCCAGTGTTGAACCCAGCCACATCGACGACCAACGACATCTGGCCCCTCCATCTCCAGCCTCCTCCACCGTATATATACCAGGCCTAATGGCCAATTACAAACTCAAGGGCCAGGGAACAGGAACATGGTCCCGATTTATAGTTCCACTGTATCCACTGCCTCCCGCCCCAGAATCCTCTGCTCCGTCGATCACTCCCACATTAGGTTATAGGAGACAGGAGGCCCATCAGACCTAATCAGGCTTATCCTTTCCAGAGGATGGCCATTAAACTAGCCTCCCTCCTACCATGCCATGGCAGACATCAACTCCCAGTCCAGTGAATTAAAGAAATTAATGGCTTCCTCACTATTACATTTAAACTAGCAACAACAAAAAATGAGGTGGGGGGGGGGGGGGGCATGAAACCTCATTATAGGAGCAAATACTTTATTCCATGCATCAGATAGACAGAGCCAGAGCCAACTGAATTCTAAAACATTTATGAAGTTAGCATGGCATGGAATGTGTGTACGCTTGATGTATTTTGCTTCAGCCTTTCAAAGTCTGGTTCATATTCTGCCGGGAACTCCCCCTGCAGTCTAGAACTCTAGTAGAAGGGGATGGGAGGAGAAAGAGGAGAGTGAAATAGGTGGCAGAAAGCAATGCCAACCCATAGCTTTTGCACATTTTGAGCCCCTCTTCATTTGAGTTTTTCTCTTCTTTTCCTTTGACTTGTTCTTTTCTCTGGCTGGGGTTCACTTCCTTTATTAGCTCCCCTCCCCCTTTCATTACAAACACAGTGTTACCTGTGTCAAATCCATTGGAGACGGCCTGGGGAAGTCAACATGGAGCCAATAGATTGTCTCCCTCCCTGAGTCACTAGCTCTACTTCTCTAGGCTAGACAAACAGAGGGAGAGGGTGAGCAACAACCTGCTTCAAAACAGGAACAGAGAGCCTCAAATCTGTATGATAAACTACATTTAGTTGAATATGTGATATATTTTGTGTAAGGCCTAAGCTTTTCAGAATTGCTTTGCAAATCAGTATAGCGAAGGTTATTCAACATACAGTAGACATGGCTCTTTGTCACATAAAGGTCTATTATACATTGCTTACACCAGTAAAGATAGTGTGCATCACACATGTGAATGTGGTTTCACACATATGGTTTTTCCACATGTCAGAGGTGACATGTTTATATCCTAGAACATTGTTATTTCCTCAAATAAACTGTGGTTGAGGATGTTAAAAGGCCTAGAGCCTCCATGTCTAAAAGAAAAGCTAGACACGTAGAGATAGAATGAAACTCTTTTGGAGTAGTCTTGGTAAGCTCAGAGCCACTGAAAAGAGGATTTTGTATAGACACGTTAATCTGTGTACTGTATTGAAGTGCTTAACAGACAGCGCAGACCAAATTCCTATGCAAGGCAGGCAGGGAAGAACAAAACAATAGCATCTGACACATTTTAATCCTCTGCTTAAAGTACCACAAAAAAACAGGGAAATATATTCAGCCTTGCAGACACTGTAAAACAATTATGCTCACGACGACCATGTGTGCTTGCAGTTGCAAAGAAGAGATAGAGGGAGTAAAAAAAAGCTTTTTATGAATCCTTTTGTCACGTCTTGTTTTAGGCTGAGTCATTCGAATAGATTAATACCTCGAATAACACCTCGGATCAACCTTTAACCTTCTCTTCCTGACTGGGCCACAGGTGTGAAGTGACAAGGTGCGACTAGATGAAAGACACACCAGTGAAGTGCCAAATGCTCATTTCCACCCATCCTGATAGATAGGCCATCGTTTATCTGGCCTAGCCCTGGAAGGTATGTTTAGCCTATCTTAACGTCTAGCCTCTCCAACGACTGAGGCCCTGCACCAAAAAAATACATAACAAATGTAGGACCTGTTGCAGGAAAACTTTACTGCAATGCAGGACATTTAGAACTTTTAGTGTATTTGAGGTTTAAAAAGGCTTATGAAGTTTGTAATTTCCACTTTGAAATTTCAGACTTGATTTTCCTTGGAGAAAAATGTATCAATACCAACCCCTACAAAAATGTTAATTCATTTTAATCCACATAATAATTCACATTTCCTGTTCCTGCAGGATTATTTTTTCCTGCTGTAGCAACCTGACTCAAATTAAGATCCTATATCTGTACAACACTGTCCAACCAGTCAGTAAGAAACCGTTATTTACTGGCTGGCAGTGGCAAAAAACAAGCCAATCACTTACTTCTTAACTGTGAGGTAGGCCCACAAGTTGTTGAGCTGCAGAAAAATAGATCAGAGCAGACAGATAATACTAAACATGGAATCACAGGCGAGGCCATGAATCCGGGTCTGCGTGCCACTATTTCACCCTGGCTGTCTCCGCTTCGACAACGGCCTTAACCATAGAAGTGACAGTGAATACTAACAGTGCGAGCCTGAGTGTCTCCGAAGCCGCTCCAAACTACCCCGGTACACACAGTGCACTGCAACAGAATCTTAAATGAGCGACTTTGACAGAAAACACATAGGCTTTAGGGGGGGGGGGGGGATCAGGTTGAAGGATGAGAGATAGTCAAGGCAATGAATTTAGAGGTTGGGGGGGATTTGGGATATGACAGGGGTGGTTATTTGCTGGCAGAGACCCTCTAGCCCACTCCCACAACAAAGAGCCTTTCATATTTCCTATGAACAGTGACAAAGAGTTCCATTAATCCCCAAGGGGAAGGCTCATCTTGGCCTTCTCCTTTCCTCCGCACATAAATGACTTTCCTCATACCCTTCCTCGTATTACCGCTCAGTGTTTTCACCACAAGAAAGTAGGAGGAGACCAAAGGAGCAGGCCACAGCACATCTTTAAATTATTAAGCCGCTCTTAAAACAGTTATGTCAGTGCTAATTCTTAACACATGCTCTCACTTTGTAGAGCTTTGCTTACAACCAGAAGAAAGCAAAGCGACTGTGGAAGTCTCTCTCTCTTGATGGCCATCTCTGTTCAGAAAGAGTCAGTAGAGGAGTGCAGTAGAAGAGACATTGGCGTGGTCCAAAGCTCAGTCCAGCTGTCGCGTTTTGCAAGCAGATGAAACACTGACGGGTAAAGCAGAGCGCATGCCTATCCCAACTTATCCCCCACAGAACAGTGCTTACCAGCTACCCGGCTGAGGCCGAACAGACACACATGCTCAGACGCCTCAGTAGTCAGGGGGACAAGGCACGACAAGAGACTATGGAGCCACAGCCACTCACACAGCATAGCAGGCTCAGGAAGTAGTCATAATCACAGAGAGAGAGGGAGAGTGAGAGAGTGAGTGAGTGAGTGAGTGAGTGAGTGAGTGAGTGAGTGAGTGAGTGAGTGAGTGAGTGAGTGAGTGAGTGAGTGAGTGAGTGAGTGAGTGAGTGAGTGAGTGAGTGAGTGAGAGAGAGAGAGAGAGATGGTGAGAGAGAGAGAGATGGCGAGAGAGAGATACTAAATTTGCTTAATTTACAGCATTCCAGAGAAGGGGGGAGGACTTACTCCCACATAAGTGTGCGTCTTTCTGTCTGGCCCACCTAATTTCAAACAGGCACAAATCGATGGTGGTGCAATCACATTTTACAGGCATCCTGCACTGTGCCGGCGACAGCAGAATAATACATAAACGGCAGGGATAATCACAGGCCCCAGATTGGAGGGGATTGGGCAAGGAGAGGAGAGGCCAGACACTGCCTCAGCTGTGGCCAAGTGGCATGGAATTCTGTTCCAGCTGTCAACAGCAGCCAGGCAGCACCTAATACTCCACACACCACCCCCTTAACGGCTGCACTAGCCCGGCTCTGAAGGGACAACGGATGGGCCTGGTGTGAGGAAAAGGGGGGAGCTGCCGCCGCAACAGAATAACGACAGACTCTTATTGTTGTCTTGGCTATGAAAGCAGAAGGCAACATTGTTTGGCCGTGACGTTATGTTGATACCTGTGGTGTGACAGGTGGGCTTGTGGATAGCATGGCTGGTCACGATGGTGAGGTGTTCTTGTAGCGTAAGCATGCCACACAGGTTATTCTCCCAGGCAGCTCTACTTTAGTACCAGCCAGTGCTGCTGCTGTCATTGGTCGGTATGATTCAAGCCCATGAATCATAGGTAGTGTGCACACACAGGTGCAGGCATGACAAAGTGCCAGCCAGGCAGCCCTGCCTGCTTGCATGTCTGTATGCATTCAAATCCATGGTACATTGTTTTATCAAAATCAAACACATTCTGCTGTTTGGTGTCTTCATCCTTCATTTGAAACCACACAATCAATCCACAGTTTAAAATCCCCACTCTACTCTACATACTTTTAGTATGTCCATGAATATAAAAACGTAATAAACGTCAATATCTGTACTATTCAACACACGTAAGGCAAATCGGTTATCCAATAACTCCCTAATATGGTGTCTCATACACAACAGTTGTCAATGCCAACGTCATATTAATCAAATCTCTATTCACAAAAGACTCATTCAGCGACCATATAAAAGAGCCCTAACAATGGCCATTAGTGGTCGGGGGAGATCAACAGCAGAATAGAATAGGGCTGCTAAATGCACTGCTGATTCACCCAACACAATGGCCTTGTTTGTGTCACTGTGACCTTAGCACTCCTAGACAACACATTATCTGTGGGACGCAGTAGAGAGCAGACAAGACCTTCACATTCAAATGGCCTCCCATTCAACAGTTGTCTTGTTTTTTCTGCTCATCCAACAAGGTCCACTTTATTGGGGACTAGACAGGGGTGCACCCTTTCTCCCTAACCATTCCTCATTCCGGCCCTAAAAACAAACAATCAAATGAATCTTGGCAGTCGTTTGGTTTATGTTCCTGGCACCTCATCCACAACATACATGAACGTGAAGAGCCAGGGGGGACTTATCTTTGTTTAATCTTATCCCATCAACTGGCACCCACTTCCCCACACCTCCTGCCAGGAGAGAGGATTGCATGATATGGAGGCCCTGAATGCTCAAAATAAACTGAGTCCCCCTGCATACCTCCACTATCCACTGGAAACCAAAATATTATCTAGATTGGCTGTGTTTCGTCTGTAAATAC